CAGACACAGAGTTAACTCCACATTGACCTTCCGAAAGGACCATGGCGCCATCGGTTCTCCTGGTCTGTTTCAGGCTTTATCCACCAGGAGCTCCACCTTCTCCCAGCCTTGAACTGGATTTTTCTTGGCCCTTATCAGCCTCATCTGCCTCTTCTCTGCCCTCCCTCACCCCACTTCCCTGGTGCCCTCTGGTGCTCTGTGCAGAAGTCTGAGCTCCGGGAGGTCAGAACCTCCCCACCGGCGCCCAACATGACACCTTGCACATGAAGTGTGCTTGGGAGATGTTGGCTGAAGAAAGAAGTGGATGGATGACAACAATCAGTGCACGAGAAATGCTTGAGAGGTGACAAGTGTGATTAAGCAATATTGAGGGCTATTTTTAATGCTATATTTCACTTTATTTTGCACATAATGAAAACAACCAATTGACTAAACAGTTCCAGAACTGTTAGTGTTCATTAATCAAGAAGTAAACAAAGTCAAAAGGCAAACTTTTCAATTCTTCCCAAATATTTTGCAAGTACAACGGAAACCCCTAACACGGGCTGGTTTTGACACAGAGGGGAAGCCTGAGCAAGAAGGGTGAGGACGGAATATCCACTTGGGTCAGGCCAGGAGCCACACTCCAGGAAGCTGGACCATACCCAGCCAGTCATTCACGCTGCCCCCATGTACATCTGCCCTGTGAAGTTCACCGTCCCTTGTCAGACGGAAATCCAAGCAGCTCTTTCCTCCATTTCTAGGCTCGTCACTTCCTCTTATTCCAAGGTGGGTGATCCATATGCAGAAATCCAGGTGGCTCAAAGACACTCACCCAGCTGTGTTTCACACAGCATCTCCACAAGCCAGGCTCCAGCCGAATCCAGTACAGGAAGTTCCCTTTGTCATTGAAGAACTCTCGTCCCTGCTGCACTACTTTGCTGCTGAAGTTCTGGTCACCCAGTTCTCCTGCCTTCGACTCCTCCAGCTTACTCACACTTGGCGATCCATCACTCCCAGTTCCTCTGGTGCCGCTTTCTCCAATACCTGTGGGCTGCAGCCACAGGCACAAAGCTCTCCTTTCCAGGCTCTGGATTCCTTTATTCCCTCCCTCTGGCTCCTCAGTGGGTTTGTACTGCCCGCTGTGACCCTGGTCTTGGGATGAGGCTTCTCCTCCTGACACAGAGTGGCCTGCAGAAAGCAGCTTCTAGGTATCCCCAGGGCCTGGAAGCTGGTGGAGTGAGTGGCCAAGCCCAGCTTTCTTAAGGACTTTTTGATCCTGCTTCACTTTTTGCTCCAATGTGGGAACAAAATTGCTTTTTAAAACCCTTCTCTCACATTGTGCTAACATCAAAGCCTTCGGCCAATCTGGGAGCTGACCAGGACTCTGCAAATTTCTTATGTAAGTACTGGATCTGCATATGGCTTCCCTCCTCAGAGTCCTGGGTGGGGCAGCTGACGCCCCAACGTGCCTCCGGATTTTCTGGAACTGGATGGCTTTTTTCTGTTGTGTCCAGATGCTGGAGAAGAGAGCCACGGCCGAAGCCATGCCCGGAAGCACCGTGGGTGGTTGAAGAGTGTCGGGCTAAATCACAGAAAGTGTCCAGCCCTCTTCTCTGTGTTCACCGCCCCAGAAGTCTAACATCCAGAATGACAGCCCTGGAGGGGGCCGAGTTCTCTAAATGGGCGATGAAGGACATTGTTGGTGAAGAGACCTGTGGTCCCAAAGGAGCTGAACAACTGCCCCTGCGGCTCTGATAAGGGTAAGGACCAGGGCCACCGTGAACGCGGGGCTGGACGCCCAGTGCCAAAGGGGCGTGGCCTAGACTGCGGGGGCAGGAGGCCTGCTTCAGGCTGAGGGCCCCAGAGGGAGCCAGTGCCTCTCCACCTCCTGAAGCTTCCGCTCCTTCCATTGCCAGCTGATAGAGCCTGGGCCAGCCGTCCCTCCTCCGCAAGCTATGGGAAGCAGGGACATGCCCGCCAAGCGAGGGGGTCAGAGTGCCCGCCATGTTGATAAAGCTGCCCTCTTTAATGGTTATCGATAGTTATTGATTATTATTTGGGGTGGGGGCTGGTTAAAATAGCTTTGGGGTGGAATTAATCATTTCATTTTCCCTCAACAAATGCTCATGCGCACACCTGCATCTTCTAACACACATGAGGCTCTAGTTGCAAGTTATTCTGGGTGGAGCAGCAGCAAAAACAGACCCAGTTGCAGCTTTTCATTGTGAAGTTCCCAGGGCCCTTTCTAAACAGGCAGATATTTGGATCCATCCAGCAAATTGATTATTTTTCCAAACAGGCCTCCCATGGACATGGCTTGCATAGCAGTGAAAATAAAAGTTCCGGGGTTTGTTTTAGATGGAGCACATCTGTGAGCACGTGACTGCAAAAACGGCCACCCAGAGCCCCCGGCCCTACATCAGTTTGCCCCAAGTGTGTGCAACAAACTGAGCCAGTGGGTCATGAGATGCTTGCTCCCAGGACTTGCGGAACACAGACTCTCACACCCGCCCCCCTCATATAGCCTTTGGGTTGGACTGCAGTACAACATCTCTTCAGAGGGGCTGGCACTGGCGGGCAAAGGGGAAACCAGTGAAAGGACGGGCTTCTAGCTAGCAGTTGGCCAGAGAGCCACATCCTGGCACACACTCACAGCCCACCGTGTGGGCAACTCCAGGTTGGTGCAGCAAAACACGTTCTGAGTTGCACAGCCAGGCCTGCACACTTGGAAAGACTGGCCCATAGCCCCTGTGGCTGGATGCTTCTAACAGGAAGGAGCAGAAGGACCAGGGTCCAGATGCCAAGGCCGTGTGGGTCAAATGGAGGCCAGTCCTCAGAGGTCACAGAGCCCATTCAACTCACACGCCAGCAAGTGGCAGGGCAGAGGCCCACCTGTGCCTCTCTTGGTGGTCCCTGGTGGAGCTACAAGAAGCAGGGGCCACCCAAAGGTATAGTGCATATGTAATCAGAGTCGTGAGTCAGCCTCCTAAGTAGCAGGTACACATTCTTGAAGCCTCAACACGCAGATGCTTACCTACTGGAGCTTCCTTGACCTGTTACCTTATAACCAGACCTAGTGTCTGTCACATACCCCAGCTGGCCAGTTGGCAGGGAGAGTGGGCGATTCCAGTGGCTTCTCCAGTCACACCCTCACCCCAACCCCCACCCTTCTCCCAAACTGAACCAAACTTCTGGAAGGTGTAGGTGGCAGCATCTTCAGGGGAAGGTGCCCCTTGGGACCCCTGGTCTTCAGCCCATCCCCCACCGAGCAAAAGCTGACCACACTGGGCAGAGGAGTGGCGAGGAAAACTGCTCTCAAAAACACTCAAAGGACAATACGATCACTGTAAAAACAGTAATAGCATTTTTTTACAGAGATAGGAAAAAAGAAAAATTCACATAGAACTGCAAAACACCCTAAAAAGCTGAAGGAAAAAAACACTCAAAGGAATAGAAAAAAAATGTATCTCTACACTAGACAAAGACTGAGGCCCTAACCCTTTGCAGGTAGTTTTTAATCTATAAGTCACTTATTAGTCCTTATTGGTTCTTCTAGATCAGTGGCATTTAAACTATAGTTGGGGGAGATTCTTCTCTGTGTGTGCACACACACACATATGGTAGGGGAAATTGACAGCTAACAAAGATTTTAGGCCTTTAACTTCTCCATCTCTGGCCTTTGGGACCACGATAGGGCCATTGTGGAATCAATGATTCGTAGGTCTGTTTCAGTGACTACAAAGTAACCTCATTTATCAGTGGAAAAACTTCAAAAGCTGACTCGATGCGGAGCATTCTTTAGGTATCACTGGAGACTAGCATAATAATGGGCAGAGATAATGGTGAGGTCACTTCTAATGATTAGATTGAACAGAGTGAAATGGTACCAGGTAATGATATCATTACAGATGCAATGATACCCTGTCTGGAATTAGTTTCAAAATAATATGAGAAGGAAAGAGATGGGCAGGAGATGAAACAAGACTGATCCTGAGCCAGTAGTTGAGGGAGATGGGAGATGGGACCGGGGGGTTCATTATACGTGTCTATATGCTCTGCAATATGTTTAAATGTTTCTTCAGTAAATAATTAAAATAAAAAGAAATCAAGAAAAAAGCATTCTTCATATGTAGAAGCATTTGAAACACATGTACAAACATCTTCTCTTCAGCTGACATTTTCTCAGCCTGCTATTGTCTTCTTTTGAAACAACTTCAATGTTCTGACTAACCTAGGTGCTTAAATACAGTATTCAACGGTGGCTACTACTCTCTGAACACAGGTTTGGGCCTGCGTGGGCTAGATATCTTCAGATGCATTAACTCACCTGCTCCCAGTAGCCCTGAAAATGAAGAAACCAAGGTTCAAATCCGTCAAGTGAGTTTCCCAAGATCACACCACTATGAATGATGGGCACAGGTTTCAGTCTTCATAAACATCACATTAAATGTTAGAGAGTGAAAGATATGTTTATCACACAAAGGTAGCCTGGGAAGAATGTTTTCCCTGGGAAGGCAGAAATGAGATTGTGTAGGCGTTGCCAACAACGTCGGTCAGAAGCCTCAGCTCCGAGGAACGTGGGTGGCCCCAGCTCGCCCTGGGTACAGGGAGTCTAACCCGGGAGCTGGGCCCGCACTGCTTGGCAGCTGTTGCCAACTCTGTATTATCATCCCTCCATTCTAAGGCCTACATTTCTTTTACTAAAGCCATAGAAATGGACTTCCAGCATCCAGGTTGGAGAAAAGAAGCAAGAAGCAAAACTCTCTCTGGTTGCAGGTGACCTAATGTTATAGATGCAAAATCCTAAGGAATCCATAAAGAGAGAGAGAGAGAGACCTAATAAATGAATTTAACAAGGTTGCAAGATACAAGACTAAATAGAAAAACCAATTGTATTTTTATACACTTGCATTAAACAACCAAAAAAAAAGAAGATATAAAAACAATTTCGTATTACTCAGCCATAAAAAATAAAAGATGAACTTCTGTCATTTGAAAGTAACAATGTACTTTCTTACCATTTGCCTCCGATTCTCCACTAGGTTGATGCCAATAATTCCTAAGAAAGATCCGAAGCCCAGCTGAGAGCAAAGGAAAAACAAGGAGAAAGCACCTGGTTAGCATGCCTGGTGGCCTGACGCTGACTTTTAACAGTAAACAGTGTTAAAGGAAACTGCTGCCCTTAAAACATTTTATCAAAGGGCCAAGGCCAGCCACTCCCACCTCTCAAAGTTCCCGCCACTAAGTGGCAGACTGGTCCATGCACCTTCAGGTGGGCTCCTCAGGTTCAGTGGAAGCAGGTGATTGGAACAGAAAGTGCTAAGACATGAGTCCATCTTATCTTCTGTGTTCCAGCATTTTAAGTCTTGGGTCAGTTTACCTCTCAATTTCAGGGAAGGAGAGCATCGTGTGGCCCCTTTGCCCTTATGGAGGACAACCCCTCCCTCGTAGCCCAGACCACTCACGGCTCATCTCTGCATCCGGTCGCCAGGTGAGAGGCCCACCTGATGTTTCTCCTGTGCCTGTCTAAGGTCCCATAGTCTGAAAGGGCTCCCTGGGCAAGATACGAGGAAGCTAGAGCCCTGGTATTTCAGAAGAAGCGTTACCAGGCTCCATGGACACGCCGACACCACTGGGAGATGAGTGTTTGACCCAGGTGAGCAGGCACACAAGTAAGCTTCGGGAACAAGAGGAGAGGGAGAAGGGAGAGTGCCCAGGGGCTCCTAGGAATCAGTCCTCCTGTTCCTCGGGAAAGCCTGAGCTCTTGGGCCCCTGGGAGGAAGGGATGTTGGGATGTTGGAGAGACACACACGTGGCTACTCTCATCTCAGAATGAAGGATCCAAGGGCTGGGGAACAGGATCCCTCCACCTGACAGTGTCCGAGAGACAAAGCTGTGCCTCATCCTCCATGCCCCCCTGATGAGAGAATTTCTTAATTTCCTCTCAGCTTAAAAAACTTGGGGTTTCAGCCATGCCCACAGAGGATGCTGCCCAGGGCAGCTGGTGACAAGCCTGTTGCAAACAACTTGGGGTGCTGCCCTGGGACCCTGCATTAGAGGCACACGCACGCAGCCAGCGAGCCCCTGCACGTCAGACTTCTGAGTGACCTTTGGGTCAGGTTGGGGACAGCCAACCCACGGACCAGCACAGGTGTGGAGCCTAAGGACTCGCTATCAAATTTAATGCTCTAAAAAACTGGACCTATTTATGTCTACAGATAGCTTTATCTATAATTATGTCTATGGAGATGGACACGTGCGAGCAGATATCATTTTTACCAGTAATTTGAGAATTCTCGAGGAGCAAGGAGAGAGGAATGTTTGCTTCACATGGGCCTTCAAAATATCGCCATCTAACTCCACACACAGGTCAAAAATATCAAAATTCCACTTCAACATAAATGTATTAAAACATATCTATTAAGTTTCACTAAGTCCCATTTTTTTAATTTAAAAAAATCCTCTTTCCGAACTGTTGAGGTATTTCTGCTGTCTAGCCCCAGCTTCTTCCTGAGATCCACACTCTGTTCTAAGTCTCTGAGTTGATTGAGGATGTCCGCAAAGCTGACTTTTATCCACATTTTCTTTCGGTGAGTTTCATCTGTCATCTCCCTGAGTTTGTGTTCAGAACTGTCCAGGCTGAAGCCAGCTTCATTCTGGACATGCCCAGGAGTCAGGTCCTTCACCGGGCAAGCTCTGACAGCACCCGGCTGTTCTTACAGGTGGGAAATCCTGCCTAAGAGATGCTTAACAAGCAAACAAACAAGCAAACAAACAAACAACCCTCTACTACTCGAAACTGATCTTGAAACTTTGCAAGTCATTTGAAAAGATGTATTGTCACAGCCCCCAAATTCCAAGGGCGCCCCCCAAATTCCAGGCCCCCTTTTCATGCAGGACACATGGCAGAAAAGCAGGGTCTCCACCTGAATCAGCTTCATGAGATTTCACCGATGAAGCTCTTTCTGTGCAGATGCTGTTTAGATGTGTTTACTCATAACTTACATATTGGTAATGCCAATTTATAAAGCATACACAAAAATAAAAATAAATGATAATATAAAGATGATTTAAATGACACTGATAAAAATTTCTAAATATTAAGAGTGCCAAAAAATGATCAATATTACTACTAATATTGATAATACCTTTAGTGAGGATAATGTATTTAATGAGCTTACTTTAAAAAAAATACCTTGGTTTAGCACTTTATGATATACAGCACCTCCAGGTTCTGGTGCATTTGAAGGACGTCATAGCTGATGAAAAGCAATTTCGCAGATGCTTTCTGTGCACAATTCAGACACTTGGAGCATATTTTATTGCTGATAACAATGGTTGTGAATTCCGTCAGAAAATCTCCCTGATAACTCTGAACTTAGGTGACTGCTTCGTGCCAGATCTGATTAGCGGTCATTTTCCTGTTTGTTCCCATGTGATTACGCTATTAATGCAATCATCAGTCAAGGCTCCTCGGCAGGCGTATTTTAAAGCTACATTTTTCCAAGGACTAGTTTGGTCATCTTGGTCTCACGGGCGGGTTCCCTTTAGAGGCTCTGGGGAGACTTGGGGCCGGGTCTTCCCCATGTCTAGAGCTGTTTCATTCCTTGGCTGGTGGCCCTCCGTCCATCATCAGCATCTTCTCCCGCCACACCACCGAGGGCTCTCCTGCATGCTTCTCCACTTTTAAGGACTTGGTGCTAAGACTGGGCCACTAGGATGATGCGGGGTCAGTGTCCACACCCTGGACCCCCCACTGCTGTGTGGCGGCCCAGATTCACAGACCCCAGGGAGTAGGACACAGATGCCTTTGGGCTCATTATTCTGCCGACCCCAGCCACCAAAACAAGTCCCCATGCCCTAACCCTCGAACTCCATGCAGCTGGAACGAAGTGTGTCGCCACCACGCAGAAATCTGTGGTCCCCCGTGCACCCCGCTCCAACCCCAGGACCCCATCACTCACAATGATCCCTGGGTAGTAGCCCCCCACGGTCACGTTCTCCGTCCTGGTGGTGGCAGCGAGGCCGATGGTCAGGATGAAGACAGACACCACCAGCAGAGACCCCACAAACCAAAGGGAGGTCTTCTTTCTTCTCGTAAACCCTTCTGGGAGGAGGATAAATAAATGAGGAAGCTGTTAGTAGGGGGCAGGGCTCAGAGGGAGGTCCTAGCAAACACGAGTGCACTCGCTGTCCACATGGTTCTTCTCTCTGCACCCCCCCCCCCGGCTCTGGAAGGCCTGTCTGTCCCGGAGTCAGGGCACACGCCCACTGTTCTCTTCCCCGTCGGTGCCCACCTCAGAGGGCGAAGCTTAGCCATTTTGGTTCCCATGACTCCAAAACAAAATAGGGGAGAAAGGAAAAACATGATCTTCCTTCTGGTGCCAAAGTTGTCTACACCGCCCATGTGTGTGTGCACGCATGGTGCTCAATGGGAGAAACAGCTTCGTATCTGATTGTAACCACCGGCTCAGATGAGCACGTGAATTGCAGGTGTGCAGACATTTTTACACTCCAGAAGATTTGCCTCCGAAGATGTACACTTCTGCAGTCTATCAGCAAAGCTTAATGTCAGGTCAAGATTGCAACACCTAAGGACAGGGTTGTTACATACTCAGAAATAAATTGCACAAAACTATAAATCGATGTGCAAACTTAGAAAAACTTGGCTCAACTGAGCACGCTGACCTAGCAAGGGTGTATGCCTCAGGAAGGACTCTTCATCCTGGGGGCTGAAGGGAGCCCCATGCGAGACACGCACTCCCTTAGCAGTGCCTCTCTTGGACTCAACACAGCCCTCAGCACAGCACCCTCTCTCCAGCTCCTTGGGAAGGTGCTTCTCCCAAGAATCTTATCCTAAAGCACCTGTTACCTTCACCCTGAAGGGGACAAGATCGCTTCATTCACTGAGATAATAAACCACCAGCTTCCCATCAGCTGAAGTCCTGGGCCCAGGTGCTGCCTGCAGCTCCCAAGACCTTGGCACAGCAGGGTGAAGGCAGGAGGGGTGCCCCTCTGCACAGGTGGCCCTGCCCTAGTACTACCTGCCAGCCTCTCCAGCTCAGACATGGATATTGGAATTTAAATCCCAGCCACCCGGCTCCAGAGTTCCTTCTGTTATTCACTCTTCTCTCTGGCTCCCTAAAAATACAAATTTATCTCCTGCATCCGCAGGGACAGACTCTTGTATCTGCCCCTGGCTATCCCCTGTTGCAGAGTTTTGAGCAGAGGAGGGAGGGGGGTACTCTGGTTTCTTTCTTTCTTTTTTTTCTGGTTCCTGTAGCACTGTGGTTGTTGTATGGAGAGTAAACTGCAGAGGAACAAGGATGGACTGTGTAAAACCTTCTGTGGAGGCTCATGCATATGAGGATGCACCAGCCAGGCAGTCCAGCCACACCCTAAAGGGCAGAGCCTTCCCTGCGGGAGCTCCTGACAACGGTTCAGTGTACCCCTCAGTGAGAACACGGGGTACAGCAAGTCTTCTAGGCCCTGTCACGGCCCTCACTTCAAAAGGCTACCACACTGCAACAACAAAGTTGCCGTGACTGTAGCCCCCAGTGGCCAGCCACAGGTCACATCTCTCCTTTAAACCTCAGATGTGCCCTCACCATGCGCTCCCAGGACCGGCACAGCAGCTTCTGCAGAGTTCTTGCTGGGTGAGCTCAGAGGGATTGGAATGCATGGACCCAGAGTGAACACCAGAGCAGGTGTACAAGTGTCCCCACAAGTGGCCCCATGAGCAGACAGCACAGGAGCCCAGAGACGATGCAGACTGCCCACGACCACGCCCCCAGCCCCATCGCTCAGACACAGGTTCTGCAGCGTCTCCCAGTGTGTCTGAACTCAGCACGTGTTCTAGAATGCCATTCCAAATCTTTTGTCTAGTCACACTCACCACTCCCATGTCCCCATCCCTCCCAAGGTGCTCAGCCCCAAGGGCACTGGCCAAATGCTAATCCACGTGGCCTGCGGCCCAGGCCACTGTTGCACTCTTATCAGGAGGACAGGCCCTGCTTGCAGTGAGAGCAGAAGCAAGCCACTTCCTGTGCCTGCTGCGGTTTTATAGACGGGTATCAGAGAGGTGCTTTGATTGATTGTGTCTGCCCTGAGCACGGAAGGAAGATCAGCGACAGGCAGGCCAACCTGGAAGAGGCACTCCTACAGCCCCTCCAGCTCCAGCAATCTCAGTTTTATCAACACCTGTCTTTTCTCTGTTACACTCCTCCTTTCCTCTTTCTCACATCTACCTTTTTCAGTGACCTCAGGAATTTCTCTTCCCCACACTTCTCATTATATCTGTGAACTAAAAACCAAGCCTCATCGGTGCTGGAAAACATAACCAAGGTGATAGCAACCTTTTCACAAGGAAAAGAAAGACTGTCGGTTTTCTATTAAAAATGTATGGCTTTTATTCTGCTCATAAAAGTGATATGTATTGTAGAACAGTTATAGAGTTCAGGAAAATACAAAAGAGAAAATAAAATTTACAGCAACCTCTCACCCAGAATTGGCAAGTGGGTATGCAGGCTTTGGCACTTCTTAAAATGGGACTACAGTGTTTTAGAAATCTGTTTTTCTCCACAATCAACTGTAAGAATCTGTCCGACTTTTGAAATACTTGTCCAAAGGCCATTCTTATTTATAATTGTACATTCCACAAAATGGAAGTGTCCATGAACCTATCCCTATGGTTGTGTATCTGAGTTGTTTCTAGATTTTTAAAATTAAAACTCAATGTGGGAGATGAGTAGGTGGAGCGCAGGACATTCTGAGATCAGTAATGGCAGATACATGTTGTCATACATTTGTCCCAACCCAGAGAATGTGCGACACCCAGAGTGTCCCCCGACGCACACTCTGGACTCCGGGGACAAGGGTGTGGCGGTGGGCTCACTGTTTGTGACTCACGCCCCACCCTCACGGGGATGCTGGTAGCGGGGCAGGCTGGGCACGTGGGCGGCAGGGGTGTGCGTGGGAATTTTATGTAACTTCCCCTCAACTTTGCTGTGAACCTAAAGCTCCTCCAAAAAGTAATCTATCTTTTTTAAAAAACGCAACATGATCAACACTTCTCATCACTTTTTTTTTAGGATAAACTTCTACAAGGGAAATTTCTGGGAAAGAAATCAAAACATTTTTAAGGAAAAATTTAAAGTTTTGAAATAAAATTCAAACTTACAAAACAGAAGATAAACCTAAAGTCCTTGTACAAGCTTTGGAAAGAGTTCGCCATAGCTCCCCAGAACTCTTTATCTACGAGCAAGAGAAGTGAATATAACTTTATCTGACTGTGTTAAATTGCTCTTTTCACTGTTGTTTCCTAGTAATTTTTACTACCAATATAGAAGAGTTGTTGAGGGAGAAGCATTCACAAGCATGTTTTACAGGAAAATACAGCCCTCAGTGCAGGCAGACTCCTTACTCCCTCATCGGGACACAGCATCAGCACATGCCCTGGAAGTTCCTGACAGTGAACTTCTCCCTCATTTCCTATTTACGGCGTCTTACTCGCAAACAAGCATGCATGCAGACAGCAGTGGCTTTCACCTTGCATGTGTTTCAAGCCTGAAGCCAAGAGTATATGTTCAAGGCAGTGTGCCTGGGAGTCAGGTATTGATCAGCGTCCCGGGAATGATGGCAGCGAACGGGGGGGGGGGGGGGGGGGGGGTGGTGTCCGTGGGGAAACAGGGGACTGAAATGGCAAAGCCCCTCTGAGAACAGGTGAGCGAGACAGAGAAAAACCAAAGAAAGAAACCTCCCCACAGGTGAAATTCTGCTCTGGTTAATTAATTTTAGGAAGGTAAGTAGAGTGAAAAAAAAAAAAGACACACAAGTTAGAAATGTATCTTCTACATTTTGGAAGTTAATGTAACTGTGCTCGGGGAACTTCTTAGTATAATCATACTGATGATAACAGTACTACCTAGTAACTGGGTAGCAACTTCAGCTTTTCTCCAGGCAGCGTGACTCTGTCTCATTCAATCGGGGTCAGAATTAATCTCTCCCATTTTCTCTATTCCCCTTCCCAGCCTCCAAATATCTGCAAATAGAGCCAAATACCAACTGCTTTCAATTAGCACGATTTCCTCGTCAGCTATTCCTCCTCGACTATTTCCTCCTTAGTGTCCCATTTTAATGTTCTGATTGTTGATACATGATTTAAGAACCATAGGACTCCTAAACTAAAGTTTACGGGCCTAAGTATTTGAGAAAATGATCAGACAAATGCCCTCCTCCTCAGATGATTTTGTTTTGCTATCTTCCTTAATTAACTGCACTGCAGGTTTATTACGCCCCAAATAATTAACTAGATGCCTCAGCATCTGCTTCCGGACACAGTTACAACCTTCCGTGGGCCTCATCTCTTAGTCCCTTTGGGATCTGTCTGCAGAAGACATATCCCGTGACTGTATCCTGGTTCCTCAAGCGTGTGAATCTTGACCTGACCAGATCCACTAAGCTAGCAGAGTCTGAGCAGCCCTTGTCAAATTTGTTAGTGACATTCTGACATACTAACCACTCAGTAAAAATTTGAACAGCTCATGAAAATTGTGTATGAACCATTTTCAATACAATGTTACCATTTCACCACTTTTCCCCAAGTCTGACTCTTTCCCTCTGAAACCGTATGATACAAAGCAGAAGGTGTAAGCTACCCTTTTTCGACAGTATTTCTGTCAATGGCTCCAAAGTTATTAGAAGGTCAGGAAAGATAGCCAGCATGATTCACACGGGGCTCTGGGAAGGGATGGTCCTGAACAATCTCAATTCTAATGACGCGTGTTGTCATATTTAGACTCTGGGTACAACAGAGATAACAAAAAGACAATCCTGACCTCAGTCCTCACAAAGATAGGATATTGGAAAAAAAGAAATTAATTTAAAAAGGTAAGAATGGGTAAGATATCCTTATAATTACCATAAGACATGCATTCTTAGATCAGGTTAGAGAGAAAGGGGATTTTGACTTAGAGGAAGACAGCTAGAATTACCTGAATTTTTCCCTAGATTCTCCTATCCCATTAGCAAGAATATCACCATGTGCATGGTTACAATTAAAGTGCCCTTAACATGGTGCCTGTTAACTAAAATGTCTACCATTAGGTGTATATCTGTGCTGGCAGCTTACATGGATGGGACCCAAACTGTTCCGGACCTGCTCCAACCAACCGTGTGACCCTAGGCAGCCGTTCATCCTCCCTGAGCCCGGCAGAAAGAGAACTCGGGGAGGCCAGGGACCACATCTGTCTTCTTCCTCACTGGATCTCGGGGCTGAGCTCAGACCGGGCGACAGCTTATGTCCTTGTGTTGAATGAATGAATAAATGTCGGTTTCCTGATCTGTGAAGTGGAGATAATAATAACCACCTGCTTTATCCACCTCGTGAGACTGTTACAAGGACCCAGTGAGAGAACATACCCATGTTTCCTGTGTTCCTTACACGTCTTTATGAATGTAGTGAATATATTTAGGCATTAATAAACATATTAATCGTGGTGTTAATGTTACCACGGTACAGCAGCCATTCCTAACCAGTGTTTCCCCCACGGGGAGCTGAGGGGAACAGTTCCGACGGGTGAAGCCGACCGGGTCAACAGCCACATCTCTCCCGTCTTGCTCACTCTTTTCCCAAACTCCAGTCTATCCCCCAGTGCATTCTATCTAGAATATCTGAGAATAACACCTGTCACTCCCCACGAGCCCCTCCATTCTCCTGCCCTGCCTGTCCCTGCTCCCAGCCTCGGCCAGAGCTGCCAAACCACAGCTTCTATGAGAAGCTAGTCACGTCTGAAAGAAGTGCAAGGGGGTTGTGGGGGTGGCGGCAGATTCTGTCTCTGTCACTCAGTGCTTTCTCCACTTAGGAAAGCCAGGAAGGGAAGGGGGATCTCACAAAGACTGGAGGTGTTCAAAGTCATGACCTCCCGGCTAGCAGGGCCTGGGCCTCCCAGAAAGAATGAGCTCTTTTAACCATGTAAGGACACTCAGGTAAAGTGACAGTCCCCGGGAAAGTAGACCAAGGCATAATGATGTACCCATGAGCCATCAATTTCCCCCTTTTATAAAAAATTTAATATAACTTGCCCAATGTGGTGAACACAAAGATAAGGTAGAAAATACCCACAATCCTATCCAGCTACACTAATGTTTAGTGTTTTTACATAAAACACCAACTTCTAGTGTTTTTAAATATATAATTCCTCCCCAGAAGAAAAAACAAAGTCAAATGTTATGTTTAAACCAACAAGTCATTCTAGGATAATAATAGAGTAACAACTCATTAATAACAGAAAGTTATTATTATTAAACATTAATGAACAATTTAGTTCCCAAAGGAGGAAAATGCATGTAAATAAGTTTTGCCAACTTTGAACTGAGAAAAAAATTAATAAGGTTTGCCACAGAGCATTTTGCTTTAGAGAGTTGCGAGGACATAGAATTATCTCTTCGAGGAACAAGCCGGAGTCCTTGATTATTATTTAAAAATCAAACAATATTACTAACCCAACTTTTAGAAAGAGGCTTTCCAAAGATACTGCAAACAGGGTTATGGGCTTAATTTTCAATGGGATCATTACCGAAGCAAGGGGCAGGCCGGGGAGATCCCCTGATCCCTCCCCCAGCTGTCGGGAGTCCCTTCCCACGGGCCTGTTTTCTCTTATCTTCTCAACATCTGCTCTGCCCTTTCCCCTTCAGGAAGACACACCCGGCAGTATTCCCCTCTTGGCCACCGCTGGGTAGAGAACCTCAGCCAACTCCCCAACCTGTGAACATGCGACAGGCTTCCTGTTTTCCACCCGTTGCCTGGCTTCCAGGCTGCATCTGTCTTGCTTCCAGAAGTCAAAGAATTCGAGATTCTGGGAATTTGTGAGGGAGAAGTCTGTGGAAGGGTGCGCTGAACGGGAGCAACACACACACACACACACACACACACACACACACACACACACGCTGTACGCGCCTTGGTTGCATGCAAGCAAGAAGAAGCTGGCTGGCTTGTTGAAGGGAACTTCTGGAGGATATTAGAGACAAACAGAGTAGAGACGAAAAGCGGGGCAGGTTGGGTTGTCCCATTCATTCAAATCCTAATGAAAGGTAGTGGGCAAGAGACGGGGAGAGACGCACAGACTCAGAGACAGACAGAAACAGGAGGAAAGAAAGGGGGAGCGAGAATACGAATAACCCAGGGCCTGTGCCCTTCGAGGGGCGCAAGGGTCCATCAGTTAAAGCTCCAAGGAGGCGGGAAGGACTGGACCTGCGCTCCGGGGCCAGCGGGGGCCCGCGGGGAGCCTGCGACGGTGCTCCGGCCGCCCTCACCTATCGTGTCCAGCAGGGCCAGGGGCCCCGGCACCGGCAGGGCGGGCGGCTGCATCCCGGGGCTGCTCCTGGCAACGGCGCGCGAGGTCGGCTCTCCGGGCGTGAGGCCAAGGCGACAGTCGGGCTGCGCGGTGGCCGAAGGATCTGCCGCTGCTGAGCGCCGCCCCTTCGCTCCTTCACCCCCGCCCGCGTCAGGCTGCTTCCTTCCCCACCTGCTCGGCCTTCCCTCCCTCCATCCCACCCCTCAGTCCCCTTTCTCCTCCGGGTCCCTCCTCTCTTGCCTCCTCCCCTGCCCGATTCCTCCCCCTCCCGCCACCCCCCATTCTCCCCTTTCTTCCCCTGGCCTCCCCAACCCCCTGCTGCTATCTCCTCCCCGCTCTCCAGCCCCCGGGCGCCTCCAGTTTTCTGGGAAATCGAACCTCCAACCGCGACACCGCGAGGGAGACAGACCCGGGAGGAGTACACTTCTGGACGTCTGTTCTGGGTGCCCACCACCAGGGCCAGCGCAGAAGTAAATTCCCAAGTGAGCGGTTGTTACGGGGATGCCCAGGTGTCTGAAATGAAAAATAACTCATAACATTTGCAGATGAAGAAACTGAGTCTCACTGAGGTAAAATAAGTAGCCCGGAGCCACACAGCTGGTAAGTGGCTGAGTTCCGTGGGCAACCCAGGCTGTGGGCAACCCAGGCCCGCTGGCCCAGCTCTCACCCACCCACCACCTGTGCGGCTGCGGGTTCCAGAAGCTGGATGGGCTTGACTTGCATTTCTACGGGTTTGCTGAAAATACGTGTATATTTTTTAAATGCATGCGCATGTTGCCAGAAACAATAGCCTGTCCAAATAATAAATTTGTCACAGAAAATTTTAGGTGCAAACTTAAAATGGGAAAGATTTTGAAAATGCTTTCTGAGCTACCTGAGCAAAGTAACTTGAAAAGGGCTCTACAGGGGCGGGGCAGGTGTGAGTACAGCGGTACCTCGGCTGTTTGTTCCGTAACTTGCAACAAGTGCTGAAACCAATGAGTACCAAGCAATCGAGAAATGATTAAGCCTTTTTTTCTCATCAAAATGCAATGAGTACAGGGTTTGGGAGTTCTGAAGCTGACCAGTACCAACATGTAACTGTATATCTCAGGAGTTAAGTGGGTCCGCCTCCTGTACCTCACGATGTCCTTCAACAACCTCAGAATCATTCCCCTTTCACAGATGAGAAAACCAAGGGTCCGGGAGGTCAACTGATGTGACCAAGAGCAGATCCAGAATTCCTGCAAAGCCTGTGTGCCTGACTGTAGGGAGGGACACTGGCTAGAATTTATTCCTTCGAACCCCCCCCCCCCCGCCCCAGGATCCTAAACAACGCCCCTGCCAAGAGTGTGAGGTGCCTTGCTGCCAGCTACACCAACTACAACTGGTACACAATGCCGCCTCAGACTGACCCAGGGGGCCTGCAGCGAACTGAACTCAGCCGGGAGCAACGGTCTGGGGTCAGGTTATTTTTAAAATGTAATGTGATTTAGCTCTTACAGAGGCAATTACGAGAAGGAAGGAGGAAATGTGTCTTATACCAGTCTGAGGATAATCAGAGGGACTGAACAAATTATTATTGATATTAAGAAGATAACGTTAAAACAGTTATCAGTTATGATGAAGGAATACTGTCCTCCCTAATACTACATTCCTACTGCTTAGATTAAATGTTTAAAATATCCTAGAGGCCCCCACCTTGACTTCTCTTACGTGAACGCGGGTCCCCACAGGCTGCAGAAACAACTGAGTCTCCTCAGAGGCACTCGCCCAGAGGTGCTGATCCAGCAGGACTCGTGGAATGAAGGGGGGGCCACCCTGAGCCTGTCCTTGAGCACCTACTTATACGCCTCGCACTGCGGTTGCCACTGTTCACAGGCTGCCTTATGCAATCCATACAATATTGTGCCCATTCCACAGATGAAGAAAATGAGGCACAGAGAATTCAAATAATTTTTTCAAAGTCAAATAGTTGTTCGATGGCAGAAACCAGATATAAAACAGGTCAGTACAATTTTAAAGCGTAATTTCATCTTCCAAATGGAAAAACATGTATTTACCTTACTATATACATTTAATTGAATCTTTTTAATTGAATCTTTTATTTATGCAGTTAACAGATATTTGTTTCATTTCCTCTATGTGCAAAATAGTAAAAGAGCTGCAAAGATAAGTCATACAGACATGCCCTTTAAGAACGTTAGTGAAAAGCGAGAAATAGGGGAAACACTATGGGTTGGCCAAAACTTTTTTCCTGTAGGATGGTTCTAGTAGCGCTTAGTTGTCCTTAACTTCATTTGAAACAACTTTGTAAATTGTACTGTGACAGCTGTCATATCAGTGTGCATTTAAAAAAAAAAAAAACCTTGTCAAAACTGGTGAATTTTTGTGTAGCCATTTAAATACTGAAGATGGAAGAAATACACAATACTTTCAGCATATTGTGCTTCATTATCAAGAAAGGTAAAAATGCAGCTGAAACACACAAAAAAGACTTGTGCAGTGTATGGAGAAAGTGCTGTGGCTGATTAAACATGTCAAATGTGGTTTGCGAAGTTTCGTGCTAGAGATTTCTCACTGCATGATGCTCCTGGGTTGGGTGGCCCGGTTGAAGTTAATAGCAATCAAATCGAGGCATTAATTGGCAACGATCAACATTATACCATTTGGAAGAGAGACAACATACTCAAAATATCCAAATCAATAAAGTGACTGGTGAAAATGAAAAATGCTTCCTTCGCAGCAGGGAGAAACTAGTCTGGGACCAGGTTATATTTAAAATGTAATATAATTTAGCTCCTTACAGTAGTGGCCAACCCGATACTATAAAGCAGATGGCGATAATAGCATTGATGAGCGCAGCTACCTGACAGGAAAATTGCCAGGAAGCCCATGGGCGTGGCCCTGCAGGAGCAGAGAGCAAGGCCTGTCTGAGGACCAGCACAGTGATTCTCAAACCCAGCTCCCATTGGAACCCTCCAGTGCTCAGGACTCTTCAGTCAGAGCCTCCGGAGGCGGGAGAATATTTGAGGTCCCTGAGCAGGTCCCCGAGCAGCCAGGATTGGGAACCGCTGCTTTCAGGACAGATGGGACGCTGACAGAGAGAAGGGGAGGACACACAGTTCCAGGAAGAGGTGGTGCTTGTGTCAGGATGGGTCTGGGCGGGGCAGAGTTCCAGAGGCTGGAGGGCAAAGTCAGAGGCCTGGAAAATCGCTAGTAAGTCTCACCATTCTGGGCCATGGGGACACCTCCCGCTGGTCTCCCTGCACACTGCCCAGGCCCGGCGGCAGAATTTCCCAGCATGCGGGCCAGCCTGACCCCCTACTGTCCCTGGAGACCCATCCAGCATAAAACAGCTGACCTGAGAGGCTGGCCCTGCCCCCAAATTTTGGAACAGAGACTAATCTTCCCCTGTCCTGGGTCAGCCCCTTGTCTTCACCGCCTCCACACAATCATGTCTGCACGTACACATGCACACACGCACACACACAGCCCAGGTTAGCCCTAGGTTTCAGTCTAGTGTTGTGTCTCACTGTCAGATTTGGTTAGGCCGGGAGGAAAGGTCCACCTGGCCATTTGTCCTTACCAACTGCCCCCTTGTCTGCCACTGAGCCCAAGCGGCTGTGGCCAGCATGCCTCTGCATCCTCCCTGCCCAGTGAGAGTGGGATCTGGGTGCCCGTGGGCTCACCGCCCAGTCCCACTGCAGAAAGGCTGGCCTGGCCTGGGAAGGGACGCTGACTGACCTCTCCCCACAGGGACTTTGCCCATCCACTCTGCCGCAGGCCTCCAGCCCTGAAGCCACGAGCACCACAGGCCCCGGCCTGCAGAAGGGAAGAGGCACAGGAGATTCTAGGATTCAGTATCTGCAGTTACGATCCGGATAATTTGAAAATTCAGGATCAGGCTGCCCGAGAAGGGGGTGCACACAGACCCCCTCTGTTGCTCCTGGCCATGGCAGGGGCAGGAACTGGTCCAGGCAGCTGACAGAGGGAGCTGGGCAAGGGCCGTTCCAGGGACTATGGGAACCAAAAGCTTTGCCCCTTTCGGATAAAAGCAGGTATGTGGGTGGGGGTGGGGAGAGGGGTGAGCAGGGATGGCCACTGCACTTATTTGCTTCTGTTATGGGAATAAATTCACCAAGGACAGGGGCTTCTCCCCTTTCATCCCCTGCTTAAAACTGTGCCTGGCTCATGGCAGGCACTCAGTAAAAACACACTGAGGGAAGACTGGATAAGCGCAACTCCCGAACACCACTTGGCACCTGCTCCCCACTGGGGCAGGGCACATGCTGGGCACCGTCCCTCTGCCACCACAACCTCACCTTCTCAGCCCTGCCTGCTGGGGAACCTGTTGGAAGACTCGTTGGGTTTTCAGTCTGGCTGATGGGAAAACGGGTTGATGTGAGCCAACAGGACCCCCAGGCTCTGATAACAAGGATGTGGGCTCTACCAACTCTCACAAGAGAGGAATTAAAAGAACCACAAAGCCACCTCTGTCAGCCACAGGCATAGTTCAGTTCCTCCAGTTCGCTCCAGAACCACGGGCCACATGGTCCCTGGGCAGGTGAAAATCGTCGCCAGAGTGTGTGTATATACAGCCTGGCTCTTGGCTCTCAAGGGTTAGTGGAGTGCAGACAGCAAAACACGACTCCTTCCTGTAACCAAATAGCCCTGAGATGACGCGCAGAGAATGAATAATGTAGAGGAACAACCAAGGAGATGACAGGTGGCCCCTGCCGGTCTGTCCCCACAGAGGAGGTGGGTGAGGCTGCGGAGACGAGGCAGAGAGTTCTCAGAGACATGAATTTTTTACAGTAAAACGCTCTCAGGGTTTTGCTAGAAGGCCTTGTAACCATGATCTCCCAGATCCACACCACTCTAATGAGCCCAAGCAGAAAGGTTCGACTGCCCAGGCATCTCACGTTTCAAGGTTCTTTTGCTCCCATACCTCCTGTGATTCCTCAGAGCCAGAGTGCCTTACTGGCCTTGGATTTGCAACCAACCACAGGCTTGTCCGATGTTTCCTGTTTTAGCCAAACAACCTGCAAAGTGCGTGTCTCAGCCGCCTGTGGAAGGGGGGGAGCCACGCCCCTTGCAGACCTGCCCCCCTTGCCCGTGGCACATATTAAATATTGACATGCCTGGCAAAGGCAGCCACCTCCAAGCTTCCCCAGAACCAAAGGGACAGGACGAGGCGCCAGGACCATGGGCACTCACCCAGCCTGGGTGAGTTGAAAGCCAGCCTGCGGCGCTCCACACGCATTTCCATGAAACAACGCATAACACACAGCGCATAATGTCCCTAACAACCTTTATCCCTCAGCCCATTTGTCCTACAAGTAAGAAGGCTGAACTCGGAAGAACACTTTTCTACTGTAACTGGCGAACTGAGGTTTGATTTTTATAAAAATCACTGATCTTACCTTCATTTTAACTTGGGTATTACCTGAGTGTCTGTCTTGCCCACTTTTTAATTTGATGTCTCCAAACGGAGGTCCGTCTTTCAAACTTGTTCTTCTAACAGCTGGCCGAGTGCCTGTGCTGTTTGCAGTCGGGCCCACCGAGCCCGAGCCCTCACCGGAGGGGGTAGACCCCGGCACGGAGGAAGAGGAGGTGTGCGCAGACTTCCTAAGGCTCATTCCGGCTGAGTTCATGTGAGGTAAATATATAGTCAGCAAATCTACAAAGACAAGGGAAAAATCAGCTGGCTGTGAGAATTTAATAAATAACCCGATGAAGGAACAAATGGGAAGTTTGGAGCGTGTAACCTGTGTTCGGGTGGTAAGACCAGACCCCAAATGTCCAGTGAGCAGTGCCCCCAGTCACCCTGGTGGGACCGTTGGGAGCTCAGGGCCCTGCGTGGGTTTTCCCCACAGTCTCCCTGAAGACTGACCGAGAAGGGGACAGTGCAGATTTGGGGGACAGCCGAACGCATCCCCTGCGTGCCTTGCCCATGCCACCCAGGCAGCCGCAGACTAGCCCCCCCACTCGCACCCTGCCTGCTTCTGTCCTGACATTTTTCGTTTCTATCTGCTCCAGTCTTTTTGTATTTTGTCACTGAAGCGTTTTTGTAATGGCCTCTGTCAAACCCTGGTCGGAGGATGCCAACACCTGCTTCATTCAGCGTCGGCCCTGCTGGTCGTGTCTTCCCACTCCTGTGGGGCTTTTCCTGGCTCTCGGCACGAGGACCGACTGCCCGTCATGCCCTGGACATCATGTCGCAGACTCTGGTTCCTGTCGGGACTGTCTGTGTCAGCAGCCCTCCTCACACATGGTGCCAGGTGGATAAACAGGTGGGTGGGGAAGAACAGAAAAGAGATTTAACCTAATTTACAACAAACGCCAAGTCATCCGAGGTTTTAGAGAAAAGATCTGCTCCGTGGTTGGGTGGGCGGTGTTTGAGCACCTGGCACAGCAGTGAGCACAGCAGGGTGTGAGGGAAGCCCAGGTCAGGGCTCACGCCTGGAGGAGCTGACCGTCCCACCGAGGAGGCCACCAGAGAAACAGCCACCAGGGAGGCTCGGCTCACTGGGTTTCTCCGCAGCCTCTCATGTGGCACTTGGGCCCAAAGGTGGCCAGTTATGCACATTAACTACGACCTCTCCTGGTTTTCTGTTAGCTACTGTGTTGATCAGGTATCACCCTGTATTGCACGAGAGTCACCCCAATAAACACTCCAGGCCTGCCTCATGGGTGGGCTGGCCTCTTTCTAAGGTGGCTCTGTCTCTCACAGGCCACATCTCCATTCTGATATGCAGAATCGCAAACAAGTGCATGACTCGGGTTTGGAAAAAGGACATTTATGAGTATGAACTGTAGGGACTGACCGTCTACTGTGAATAGTAGAATAATGCAACCAATACTTACTCTGACAAGGTACAAAGTAGAAGTTTGCAAATGCAGATACACTGGAATTCAAGGTCTGATGAGCAGGGCCTTTGAGGGCAATTTAAAAAATCTGGTAGCCATAGAGAGATGAGAATGAAGGCAAAGTGTGCCTGTGTGTGTGAATGTGTGTATGTGTGCAAATGTATAGTCATGTGTGTGTGTGTGAGTATATGTGATTTCAAAGAATGCAGCTAGTATTCATATCACAATCTAGAGAGTCCATCCCTCTTTTTTAAACTTTTGTTGTTACATTATATAGCTTGTTTCACTTAAATAGAAATTGCGTTTTTTCATTTTATAAAAAACGAAATCTCCCTGAAACCATTTGGATCAAAGCATCCCCAGGGCCCCTCCGCACCCTGACCATCCTTCCGGGGATCAGGTTGCTAAGGAAATGCCATGGTGGCATTCTTCCCACAACTGTGTGTCTAAACACACCCCAACCCCCGGGATGGTAAAAGCGGGACATTTCTTGTCAGGCTTTCAGCCAGGACATGTTGGCAACTGGGGCCAGCGGCCCAAGAGCCTGAGACCGGCCACCCTGGAGGGAGTTTGTACCTGGTTTCTGAGGATCTGTGGCCGGCTCACAGCTTGGAGAGTAAAAGTGATCAGAGATGAAGACTCCTCTGCAGAGGACCCCACCCCGGGCCTTCCAGGGCCCCCGATGTGCGTTTCGGGTGAACGCAAAGCCTGGACAGCCCAGCAGCACTGGAGCAGGGTGGGGCAAGTTCACGCTGCCCCGTGGCCCAAACAGGACAGCGGGCCCCCAGGCCCCCGGTGAGTGGGGTGGGGGGTAGCTGGAGTGAGGACCATCACACACTGCTGAGCAGCAAGACCCCTTGGAGTGCGCCCGGTCAGGGGACTGCACCCGAGAAATACATACGGGGAAGGTCCCCAAAGACACATTAAGAAGCACCATAGCGAAGGGTGGCCCTGAGCACCGGCCTGGCAGCTCAGACCTGCCACGTCCGTCTTCCTCCCACCCTAGCCTCACCCCCAGAAGCCAGAAGCTGAGGGTGACCAGGAGGGCAGGAGAGCTCAGCAGGGAGACTGGGGGTGCCCCTCCATGACCAGCTGGGAAAGAAGTTTGAAGTGACTAGGGTCCCAGTTATCACATGGGTTGATGGGGATTTAAGCCAACGCCTTGAGACTACTGTCACCTAGTGGGACTGCAGACGGATGCCTGGTCACCTCTGGGGAGGGGAGCATCAGGGAGGGGGCATGGGGCTGGTGGGGCACCAGCGGGGGTGTCCCCAGGGGTCACAGTGTGGTCACTGACTGAGTGTCCATGATTCCTTTTCTCTACCTGAAATTTTATGTTTTAACAAAGTGACTGCAGGACTTCCAGTTGCCGACGTGTGAACACGTGGGGCCAACTCTCGTTCGGGTGTGGGGAGCAGGAAAGACTAGGCCTGAGCAGACTCCGAGAGACAGCTGGAGCCACAGGTAAGTTGTGTTTGTGATTATATTCCAACAAACCTTCGAGTTCAACAGATATTTGTTTATAGGTTAAGTCACAGGCATTGCCAGATTTAGCAAAAAAAGAAACAAACACAAACAAACAACCACCAGTGAACAACGTTTTACTGTTTGTCTTAGGTAATATTTGAGACATACACTAAAAAAATTATTTGGTGTTTATCTGAAGCTCAAATGCAACCAGCTATCCTGTGTTTTATCTGGGCATCTAACCATAAGGTAAAGGCAGGAAGGACGTCGTTGGCGAATCTGGCACCACAATAGAGGGGCCTGCACCATGAGGCTCCGTGGGCCCCGGGCAGGCACCAGGGGACGGTGGCCAGAGGGGCAAGGGCCAGGCCTCCACCCACATAGCTGAGGCTGCTTGAATGACCCTGCAGGGCCATGGGGACCTAGCGGAGTATAAATGGCTATAGAAAGTCAGAAATGGGTCTTTCTTGCACCAGAATGCAGTGAAGTGGAATTCATAGCCATCACTGAAGTGATGTGTACCATTCTAGAAAACAAAACCGGATTTAAGGAAGAGTACAGCAATTTGTCCCGCCAATGGTTCAGCGTCCCTCAGCCCCCGATCCCTCATCTTAGGCCTGCCCAGGGAGATGTACAAGTTGGTAGTTTCAAATCACAGACCAAAAAGCACTAGATGCCTCTACACAGTCAGGAGAGAAGGACCATTTGGGTTGGGTTTATTTCACCAGTCCAGGGGTGCTTTAAAAGTAAAGTGTCCTTGTGCGTAGGTAACTACAGAACACACCGGAGATGTCGCCACAAAACTAAGAGTCTACGCCCAACACCCTCTGTGCTTCCCACAATGCTCAGGGGACACGCCCTCTTTTCTATGTAGGCTCTAGGGCAAGTAGGAGGTAGTTGGGTCCTAGCGTTTGGCCAGCAACCCTCCGAAGCCATTGATTGTCAAGATCCACTCTTCTCCTGAGGGTGCAGGGGAGCTGATGCCATGTCCCCAGGGCCCGGGCAGTGACCGGGTGGCAGGAGGAACTGGAACTATGTGCGAAGGGGGACCAGGCCAAGGTCCACAGCGAGTCCTCTCTCACGGTGCCTGGGAGACTGAGGACGGTGGTTCGCCAACCCCTGGACTAACAACGAGAAGGCTTCCACCTTGGATGGGGCACTTGGAAGTCACAGTTAAGGTGCCAGGAAACCCAAACTGAGCATCCTCTCATCTGAGCAGCCGTCAGCCCGGCTGCCCAACACCACCTCCAACTTGCATGTCCACGCAAGAGAGCGCCTGGACAGGCAGGCGTTATTGGTGTACTCTGTCTGGGAGCCATTGCTGTGTCTTTCTTTGAGTGACATGGGACAAAAGAAGTGGACTATTTACAAGCCGGAGCTCCTGACCCCCAGGGCTGGGAAGCCTGATGGCTCTGGGCCTCCTTTCTTCTGACCCTGCTGTGAGCAGCTCGGCCGCACCGGCAGCTTGGCCCGGGGAGCGGCCTGTCACCACGGCGGGCTCCCCTGACACACGAAGCCCTGTCCATCCCTGCCAGCTGCGGGAGGTCCCCCTTCCTCCTCCCCATCTAGGAGAGCAGACACATCCCTGACTTGGAGGAGGGGGCGGCCTCCTCCACGGTGTTCCCCGTCATGTCAGCGGGCATCTGCCCGTCGGCACGCCACACGTTCAGCTCCCCAAAGGTGCCCGTCTCAATCATCTCCTCCTGCCAGGGAATGGAGCAGTTGCCGGTGGCAAATTCCTGGAAGAACTCCGTGTCCGCTTTGTCAAAGACCACACCCTTGACTGTGGAAAAGGCCCCCACGTCCTGGATGTTCTTTGCATAGACAGTTCTGGAGTCTGGGATGAAGGGGGGTATCAGCATCCCTGTCGGAGGACAGAAAACACAGATGTGAAACGATGCACAACGTTAGGAAACAGCCATCTGCCGAGGAGTCCTCCCCGCTGGGCGAGCAGGGCCACTCCTTGCCGCGGCCACGCCCGGACGGCTGTCTGGGCTGCTAACGCAGAAATCAGCGCACCCGGGGGGGTCCTGGGCATCTCCCATGGCCCCAAAGTGAAGGGTGGTGTGTTCTTGCCTCACACCGCCACATCCACTCACAGTGCGACCCTAGACACACGCCCTCGTGCCGGCCTCCCTCGGGGAATCGCCGTGCGCCAATCAGACACCTGAACCCAGCCTGCTCGGAGCTGAACGCCTCACTGTTTTTCCAAAGCAGCTCTTCTCTCTAAGCTGCTCAAGGACCATGGGTTCTCAGTCAGCAGACACAGAACTTTGGTCACCCGGGACTCCCACCCAGACTGACCCTGCCTTCCTTTCACCCCTCACCCCCATGGCTCCTCTCAGCTCATGGTCCCCAGCCGGCCAGACCATTGCAATGACCTAAGGGCTGACTTCCTGGCTGCAGCCTCTCCTGGTTCTGACCTCTCAGAGCTGTGTGACCTCACACCACCCTGGGCAGCTCTCCTGCTGGATGGAGCCCATCGTCAGGTCATCCTGGAGCCGCCTCTGCTCTGACCCTTCCCTGCACAAGCAACATCTCTTACTGAGGCCTCTACTACTCACTGCTCCGTCCCCCAGGGCTCCCGCCATCTAGTCACATGTTTACATATCCCGGCTGTAAGTTCCGGATGTGTGGCTGTGTCCCTCCTTCTCTCCCACAGCCATATACACATGCGCACACACACGATCTCGCACATGACGCTTGATAACAAATGCTGGTTGAATAAATGAACAAATGAATGAATGTCTCCCAAGCAGACAGCTTTGATCAGTCCCGGATGGGGATCCGGGACTCCAGGAAAGAACAGGGTGTGGAAATGCAGAACAGCAGGTTTGGATCCAAAGTAAGCCAGCATGTTCCCTGCCTATCTCCTCCAACCTTTTCTGACCTCCGGCAGATTTCCCCAAAAGCCTGCTCCATCCACACCCAGTTCAGGGGTGTGTAGGGAGTGAACAGAGTGCTAGAGGGTGGAGGTTTTACCAGGGGCAAGAGGGCAGCTGCCAGAGGAGTATCAACCAGACGACCCTGCTCTGCTGATGATGAGCTCAGCCTAGCCAACACCAACAGGGAGGTGGGCCAAGCAAGAGCCACCCACAGACCCACGGCCTGCGGGCCCCAGACCCCAGGGCGTGCCAACAGTACCGGCCTCCAGCTGTCTCCAGTTAATGTCTTTAAACAGGGGGTTGATGCGGAGCCCATCACAAGTCCCATCTCTGAACCCCAGACGCTTCTCCGGGTCCTTCTCCAGCAGCGCCTCACAGAAGTCCTTGCTGGCCTGGCTGAACTTGTCTGTGTACTTGACCGCCTCCGTGAGGATCCTGTGCTTGAGCTCCTTGTTCTCCACCTGCACAGTGGGACGCACATCATGTGAAACCCTTGCCGAACCCACCAATGTCACCAGAGCTGGCACCTCGGGCTCTAGGAGATGCGACAGCCCCTGTTGGTGCCCAGGCTGGGCCAGGACTCTTCCCAGAAAGAAGCTGGCCCTGCATTCACATGGAGGCAGAGGTGATGGGAACCTGAGCATGGTCCCCTCCCCAGCATGGTAGCAATTAAAGGGCTTAATAGCTCAGGTGAGTGGAGTGGAATCCTAAAGGCGCTGGCCAAACTTGGAGTGTGGGGTAGTTCAGGGAATCCTGGTTGATACTGTGGCACCTTATATACAACCACTCCTTAGCTACCTGAGAAGAAAAAAAACAACAAAACTAAAAAGTCAACTTTGGAGACCAGAGCTGGTAGAGAGGTCTTCTACCTGGACAGGAACCTGGGGGAGCGTCTGTTCTGTCTGGCTGGGTCAGCTTTACAGAACACAACTGACCCACCGCAAAGCTCCGCCTTCGGTGACCGGAGCGGAGGGTTTCAATCAGTCTGCAGAGACCCCCACCGCTCCCCCAAAGTCCCCTGTGTCCTCTGCAGCCTGCCTCTGCCTCAGGCAAACACTGACCTGCCTCCTCTCACAATACAACAGCTTTCCCGGAATCTCCTGCAGTGAAATCGTCCAGAGTCGCCCTTCCGTCTGGCTTCTCTCCTTGACTATAAGGATTCTGAGGCCTGTTCGTGCTGTGAGTGTATCATGTTCCCTCCTTCCTGTCACTGTGGAGCCGGGCTCCGGGTACTGATGGACCTTGGTGGGTTCCCTTTGGGCGTCTCAGAGACGCTATGTACATCTCTCCATGCTTACATGCACCCAGAAAGTAGGGTTCTGGCTGGGGCTGTGGGGCCAGCCAGGGCTCCGAGTGGGAGCCGGGAGCTCCTTCCTACCACGGCCCTCGCTCTTTTGTCTCATTTTGCTCTTCTGAGCTGTTGGAAGTCAGGAGAGGGAAGTGGTTCCTAGAGTTCGAGCTGCCATCGCAAAGACCCAGGGTGCCAGTCACGTGGGGACTCTTTGCTCTCAGAAGACTGGAGACTTGGTTTGTTCCTGCCACTGTTGTAGGGGGACACACTAGGGTGTCCAGGCAGAAGGAAGTGACGGGCGGGGCACCTGTCAGACCGAGGTGGGTGGGTCAGGTGCTGTGTCTGAAGACTGCAGTTCACACCGGTCCCTTGAGGGCCTCTTTTCTCATCCGGCCTCCTCGTTGCCAGTCTACGGGGACCCAGGGACAGACAGCACAGCGGGAGTGTGGGAGGCCGGAAGTCAGGGCACAGCATGAGGTGTCCACTGTCCTCCGGGACATTCGAAAGAGCTTCTGTGCTGTGTGGTGCCTGGCGCGGGGCCTGCGGCATCTTAGCATGGGGGGGTCTTTCTTGGTATGTGTCTGCTGTGAAGAGCACGTAGGCCATCAAAGGGACCTGGGCGGCTCAGTGAGGCAGGGGGAGGGGTCTGTGCTGGGCACCACTCGTGGGGGAGTGTCTGAGAAAGCTGGGGCATCTCTCGTCCCATCTCTCGGGCAACACTCCTCAGAGTCCGGAGCTACATGACAAGCCATCGCTGTGTCCCCTCTCTCCTGCTCACGAAGGACCCACCACGAGAAGCCCAGTGCCCAACACTTCGGCTGCAGTGACACCTGCTCCTATGACACCCCACCCAACAGGGAGCGTCCCCGCGGGACAGCACAGGACCACTGACTAGCCCACCCCGTCCTACCTTCTCTCCCCGGGCTCGGAAGGGTCCTCTGGCCGCGATCATCTCGTACAGCGTGACCCCCAGGGCAAAGTAATCCACGGAGAAGCCGTACTCCTCACCCCGCAGGAGCTCGGGGGCCATGAAACCTGCGGGGCAGGAGCACAGTGAGGACTCGAGGTGCCGCCGCACGGCAGCAAGCACAGAACCCATGCTTCCCGGTGTGCATGGCCTGGGGGTCTCACATGCGACACTTGGGGCAGGAAACCCTGTGACGGGGCTGCAGCATCCCTGGCCTCCACCCACTAGTCAGTACCTGCCCCGCCCCCAAGTTGTGACAACCAAAGCGTTTCCAGACACTGCCGAGTGTCTCCTAGGAGAAAATCGCCCCTGATTAAGAAGCACCGCCCCGTACGTGTGGTGTGAAGCCTCGTGTCCCCTTGGGCACACTGTGATGGACAGAATGGTGGTTCTTGCTTGCATCTCAGGTATGAGTGTAACCTGTGTGGTCGCGAGTGTTGCAGACACAGGCACTACAAGATGCTTCCCTAACAGGCAGAGAAGGACAGATTTAAGCCTCCAAAGATGGAGGGGAAGGGTTGTCCCAGGAACCACACTGGAGGCTGAAGCTGAGGGGTACCAGCCAAGACCAGGCTCTGGGGGAGGCCTTGCTGTGAATTGGGGAATTGGCGCCCTTTAGTGGCACTTATTCTAGCTGACCCCATTGCATGCTTACTGTGTGGCAGGGGAAGGTGCGCAGTGACCTCATTTAATCCTGCTGACTACGAGAGGTGCCGTTACTTTTCCCTGTTATTCGGAAACCAACCTGTCCTTGCTGACATGGATAGCAGGAAACAGAGACGATCAGGCCCAGGCATCTGAGCTTCGAACCGCTACATTGTCCTTTGTGTGGTAGCTAAACCCACTATCACTCCGCCTAATGGTCCTTCTGTAACTTGGCTTTCATTTGTAGCAAAATTATTCAGGCACAAAAAGGATTAGCGAGTTCTACAGGACCTGTTTCTGAAAATAGCAGTGCCCTGACCCTCCTCCTCCACCTGATCCCCATCTCGGAATCCTTCTGGCTGGTGATTTTGGAATTAGTATCCATACGTCTGAGTAACGTGCTTCTATCGCTGGTTTTGCAGCTCCCACCAGGGCCTCCTGAGCTGACTCCTTGTTGGGGAAGCTGAGGGGTCCATTCCTCTTTCCACCCCCACCCTGCCCACACTTCTCCCTCGTCCCTCTCCTGATACATCATCTGCCTGCTCAGCTCTCAGCTCTCACTATTCTCCACTGAACCAAAAACTCAACCCCAGTTATATTTCCTTTCTGACATGTTTTTACAGGTTTTCCCAGTAAAACTTATCTTTTCTTTGCTTCATTCTCTATGTTCTTACTATTAATTTCATCCTAAATTCTCAGACTATTCTCTAACACCTGTCATGTTCTGGCATATGAAATATTTTATCAGCTCCATCCTCATCAGTCTTCTGGAAGCTTCTGACTACTCTAATGTGGATTCTGGTGCGCAGTCTGCAGCCTAGAATGTCCCTGTCACTGTGAAGCTTTTTGTCTCTCGTTGTGTCCTGTTTCCTAGAAACTATGCTTTTGGTTGAGTCCCTTATTTTGACCAAGTAGCTTCCTGAGGAAGGATGCTGAAGTAAGTTTTTGAGAACTTTTGTATCTGAAACTACCTTTATTTTGCCTTAATACTTAGCTGATAGTTTGACTGGGTATAAAGTTCTGGTTGGGAAGTCATGTTCTCTCTTATTTTTAGGACATTTTTCCATGGTCTTCTCACAGTATAGTTCACATGTGATAATTATAACCCTTGTATGGGTGAGGAAGTGTGAGCAGCTTCCCCAAGGTCACAGAAATAGACGGTCTTGGAGCCTGGCATCCACCTGTGCAGCTCAGTGTTGGGTACGTGTGCCTAAATACCATGCAGTCTGACTCATACGTTCCGACTCACGTGCTTTATGCCACTGTCTTGGGTAGAGGGTGTCATGTTCAGCAAAGCAAATAAGGACTTGTCAGATGGCTGTGTCTGGCTGGTTCCAGCCTCCAGGAGCTGGTCAGCTCATCTGTTCCCATGCCAGGTCGGTGCCATATGTAAGGTACTGGGGCCAGGTGCTGAGCTCTGCATGTTGAAGGTCAGCAAGACTTAGGCTTCCGTTCCCTATGTGTAGGGGCCAGACCAGCTCATGGGAAGGCCAGGTTCTGGGGCCTCTCCCTGGGGCCAGGGCAGGTATTACAAGCCGGGCACCGACTTCTGTGCTTGGATGACTTTCGACATTCTGAGGTAAGCAAAGCTGACCGTGTCCTTTTAGTCCTGGTTCTTCCTTGTCCTCAATGTACCAGTGCTCATGGTGAGTTTCAAAGAGGGAGATGTGTTCGGTGGCACTGGCCACACCAATGTGACTGCAAACCATTTCTCCCCCAAGAGGTAATGGAGTCACCTCCGAAGGACCTCCTGGCCCTGAATACACCTTCGTAAGTTCTGCTTTTCAGGGAACTACATTGTTGTCCAGACTGTTCAGACTCCTGAAAAAGGTGTGTTCAACGAACCACAACTTCTAGGTTAACATGGGGCCCGAGAGACAGGCCAGTCGGACCACGGGATACAGTCATCTCCTGTAACAAGTGACTTAGTGGCACCTCTAGTCTGTCCCACCCAACTCGGTCCCAAATGATGCGTCTTTCTGTACCTTTAGGGTCTCACATGGCACCTGGGGCAAAGCAAGAGCCAACAGCAAGTATTTGTTGTTTGAATGGATGAGTGAACAATACCTCAGTTTCATTACTAATTCTTCCACGTGTTGACTCCTCTTCCTCTCCTGTCTAGAAACTCACTGGAATGAAGAGCAAGCCTTATGTCTCTTAGGCAGATCCCACTGGGCTGGCACAGCACTAGCCAAGTTGAGTCCCCTGTTTACGGCCAACGGCAGAGGCTCAGAGGCCCTGTCTCTAGCTGGGGCCCAGGCTGGGATGGTGCAGAGAAGCTGAAGAAGGATCCAGAGGCAGCCCCCTGTGGCTCTGCTGGGTGCCCCAGCCTTCTAAGTTACTCTGACTTCAGCCTCTGCTGCAGCTGTTTGAGGGTCACACACTGCACCTGAGCCCCGAAGCTCAGAGCCACACCTGCACGCACCTGTGGAGAGAACCACGCACCTGGAAAGCTTTGTCCCAGTGTTAGGAGTACTTCTGCAGGCTGACTCAGCGGCCACAGCAAAGCCTGTGAGGCCCTCTAGTGGCCAACAGGGCCCTTGCGCTCGGCCCAAACAAGGTCAGGCGATATCCTTGAGGTCAAACTACTTCACACCCTAGTTTTGGAGTTTTCTGGGCCTTCCCCCTAATGATCTGAATCACCTTGAAATACATGAGTGGCGTTTCCACTCACAGACTCATGCAAGAAGTTGAAACCCCATAGACTTTGGCCGAGGATCTAGAAAATTCAAGACTGGACCTTTCCCTAAATAAAGCCACAGATGAGGGTGGTGTACACTTTGGTGACAGGCACCCCCCCACCCCCCAAAAGCCCACAGCCCAAGGACTGAGAGAATTCTGCAACACAAAACAAAAAATACCGAAAACCTTCATCACAGAAGGTGCTGCATGTTAAAGCCAATATCGATTTTTTAGAGGAGGGGTCATACCTGCAGCAGGGGCAGGCCCCCGACGCAGCTGTGCTAGCCCACTAGCCAGCCCTTCCGGTTCCAATCTTTGCTCTAGGGGTGAGGGAGCCGCTTCCCTACGAACCCCCAGCCCTCACCATGCCACCCGGCCTGGGCCATGGGGACCCTGCAGAACTCCTGAGGCTTCACTCCTCCCCCTAAAAAAGGCGACTCCCATTCTTGCTCTCAGGCCCTTACCTGGGGTCCCTGCGTAGCCCTTGGTCTTGGTCTGCCCTTCCTTCAGCTCCACAGCCAGCCCGAGGTCAGAGATTCGGACGTTGCCTGAAAAGCAAACATTGGGGACGGTCACACGTGGCTCCAAGAACAAAGGTGCCTGGTGTTTCTGGAGCCCACATGAGCCAAGAGCCAGCCTCTGCACACATGCACACGCATCACATGAACGTGCACACACATGTGCATGAGTGCTCACACGTGCGCACACTCATGCGCATGTGCTGGTGCACACACTCACATGCACACTACAGGGGGGATGAGGCCTCAGCACCCAGGTGCCTCTGCTCCCCAGACAGACCACAGGGGACTGAGGGGTCCCACAGCACCTGCAACCTGATTCGGAGCATAACCCACGCAGGTTCGGTTTCCCCCCTGCTCTCTCTTCCTCAAACTCTATGCAACAGCCTCTGATGATGCCCATTCGTGTGTGTGACTTGGTGGCAGAAAGGGAGGGAGCTCTAAATAGGGACAGGAGGGAAGCCCAAATCTCTGCTTATTTTCCGGGAAGAACCCAGTTTGACTTCGCAGCGAAGGCGGAAAGAAGAGAATGACAGAGGGGGAATTTGGCAGTAAAATATTAACTGTTTGCCAATAGCCCAGACACTGTAGACATCCTGGATTAACTCCTTGTAACTCTAGGAGCCTCTTTACACACCAAATTTCATCAAATCTGGCCAAAAATCTGCATTTGGAGATAATGCCATTCTATTGCAAAATGGCTAAGGGAACAATAAACAAACTTCAGAAGTGTCCTGGTGCCACTTAAAGCTCTGACAAGCACTTGTCAAAAACAGCCCATCCCCTCACAGGTGACCTGTGGGGCCACAACGTCCAGCGGGGCAAGGAGAGGTGGGAGGGGAGGCCGGGGAGGGCGGCCTCCTCACCTTCATCATCCAGGAGCACGTTCTCGGGCTTGAGGTCCCGGTAGACGATGCCCCTCTGGTGCAGGTGCTCCAGGCCGCTGATGATCTGGGCCGTGTAGAAGATGGCGCGCGGCTCCTGGAAGCCAGGGTTCTCCTCGTCCACATTGTAGATGTGGTACCTGAAGGCAGACTATGCAGAGGCCTGTGCTGTTCTAGCCCAACCACCAGAGTGTGACCGCGGCTTGGATGGAAGTGCAATCTTGGGAAAGCAGGGCAAGCCTCACAATCCCGGGTCGGGTCAGTAAAGTGTCTGGTCCTTTGGGGCCTCCGTGTTTAGCCTGCAGGACCTGCTGGGCCCTAGAGATCCCCTTCCCATGCTGGGCTGCACGAGCCCTCCCATCCCAGCTCCCAGGCGGAAGAGGAAAGGAACCCGTTCACCTTAAGTCGCCACCATTCATGATGGTCATCACCAGACAGAGGTCAGTTTTGGTTTCAAACGCATAGGCCAGAGAGACTATAAACCTGCTGTGCACTTTCGTGAGGATCTTCTTCTCTACCATAGCACCCTGAAAAGCAAGGCGTCCAGAAGTACCCAGGCTTAGGCAGGGACGTGACATTGCCATAAAAAACCGAGTTCCGCAAACCAGAAAAACGTTCTGATAAACTAGAAACAGAATTGCAAATACATTTTAAGAGTAGTTTGCACTCTGACCAGTGTGGCTCTGTGGGTTGGGCATCGTCCCACAAAGCAAAAGGCGGCCAGTTAAATTCCTGGTCAGGGCTCATGCATGGGTTGTGGGTTCCACCCCCTGGTGGAGCACCTACAAGAGGCAGACGACTGATATTTCTCTCTCACATCGATGTTTCTCTCCCTCTCTTTCTCCCCTCTTACCCTCTGTCTAAAAATAAATAAATAAAATCTTTTTAAAAGTGGCCTGCACAAAGCAATTGCAAATAACTTAAACAGACATACAAATTAGTCACGTACAGAAAATTTCGGGTCTCCTGGAGCATCCAGCCAACCAGCCTTAAAAATGTCCAGTGAGGGAGCCGGCCCTGGTGCCGGTCCACTGCTGACTTTCCTCCCCATCCTTCCGTATGCATCTAACCGATCATTCTGCCGGGATCTCGGCTCCTTTCCTCTGGGCCAGGCCAAAGAGAGGATAGCTGAGGTCCCAGGCCACCCCGCATCTCAGTTCATTTTCTGTCTTTATTTTAAAAACTAATGATATCCATTCAACATGTTTTTTAAAACTGTGCTTGGAAAAGAAAAGTAGAATCTTTTTCTGAAGGAGGAATTCTTGATGTTGGAAGAGGCCTCTTTCTAGCCACACTGCATGAAAAGATTTAGGGTTGATTTTACTTTGCATTAAGTTCAACGAGGGTCCTGAACTTGGGAGAGAACACACTGTTGTGCTCTAATTGTTGGATTAAAATCATAGGCTGACAGCTCAGAGGGAGGAATGACTGCTTCCCCCAAAGTTCCAGATGGGGAGCACCATCCCGGAGGGGCGCTTCGTGGTGGCTGATGTTTGCCCTGAAAAGCTGTGTTTGCCTCCCCATGGAATCGCACGTGGGCAGTGGGAAGAGACAAAGAGCATGCAGGACCAAACGCGCAGCTGGGAGACGAGCTCCTAAAACACTAAGCAGCTTCCGCTGACCCTGCCTAAATGGGGTCTGATGCCAGTTAAAGAGCGGCCTCCACAACAATGACCTGTCTGTGCCTCCATTCTCCCCTGTCCCTGGAAGATGGTTGCGTTCAGAGAACAGCCTACACCCAGCATCTCGGACAGGCTCGGCCTCTCTTTTACGAGAGGCACCAGCCCTTGGCTAGGTTCCCTGTGCACCCTCGGTCACCGCAACGCCAGGGCTTGGGAAAGTTCCAGGAATTCAGAGTAAAGAGTCAGAGAACAATCCCCCGACAGCCTCCCTCAACACTGCTACTGAGTTTTGTGGTGGAAACCAAGGATGACAGAATGTGGGGTGTCATCCACACCAACAAATACAAAGGCCACTTTCCAGGGACAGCGTCAGCACATCTGTTTGTGTGCAGAGCTGATTGTTAAGAGCAGCTCTGAACACAAAAGCTGCACCACAGCTCTGGACAAACTGTGCCACAGGCTGGGAGGACCGCAGAGGCCACGCACTGCGTCCTTTGCCACGGCACTCGGGCCAGGCACGCAGCTGCGGTGCACAGATGGGACTAAAGCACGTCAAGGGGACTCAGATGGACTAGAAACCAGCCAACAGCTGCACAGCAGGAGGGGCTCTGCGTCCAAATGGTGAGGCGAGCCAGCCAGCCAGCCAGGGGCGCCGTGCTGGGCTAGAGAGAGCACCCGAGGGCTGTCCGAGCCCGCTGAACCCACCCGCCCACCTGCCCGATCTAAGAATGTACTCTCCACTGTGCACAGCCGTGCTGCCCACCTGGTACCCTTTCCTTTTCTTCAGCCTCTTCTTGTTCAGCTTTTTGCATGCGTACATCTTGCCAGTCGCCTTCATCTGGCAGGCCGACACCTCCCCGAAGCCACCTTTCCCCAACACCCTGAAGTCCAGGAACCAGTCCTCCCCCATTGGCTGGGCCTCCAGCCACTTCCACTGCAAGAACCTCTGGAAGTGCAGGCTGCCCAGGTACTCTTGGAACGGGGCCTGGCTCAGGTAGGCCAGGGCGTCCTGCAGGAGGGGCTGGAAGAGCCCATCCTCACTTGCCACGGGCCCCTCCCGGAGCTTCGCCACAGTCCCCTCGTCCAAGAAGCTGCAGAAAAGCTTGGCCTGGGGGTCCAGGTACTCAGCCAGGATGGCCCGGACCTTCTGTGGCCGGAGGTCATCATCTGCCATGTCGTAATCCTCAATGTCCTTCCAGAGCTCCAAGGCCGGCACGTGCCTCTCATCCACCTTCAGGAACTGCTGGAAAAGCCGCTTGCCGATGGGCTGCTCCAAGCACACCTCCTGGAACTGCAGGTCCAGGCTGTCCCGGAGGGCCTCGCACTTGGAGAGCGGAGGCAGCTTGAGCTTGGCCCGGTACTTCTTGTCCCGGGAGGACGGGGCACTGCTCCCATCGAAGCTGCCCCGGGCGGCGATGAAGGCAGAGTTGGCCACCACCGTCTCCAAGGACCCGAAATCCATCCCAGCACCCCTTCCCACCGCTCAGGCCCCAGGGGCCATGGGCTAGCTCTGGATGCCTGTGTCTAGAGCAGGCCTGACCCGCTGACCTTGGCCTGTGCCCGTTCCCGGCTCTAGGGACAGGAGGCGTCCAGGCCGGTACGAGGACGACTGGGGGCCACACTGGGAGCCCCCAGGAGCCCAGCTGCCACAGCTCAGGCTAAATCCCAGCCCGGGGTTACGAAGGGACGCACCAGGAGCCCAGCGAGGCAAACAGGCGCCAGAAAAAGACAATCCCCTAAGCCGCTCCCAGAAGGATTAGACGGCCTGCCTGCCGGCCTCCTTCCTCTGAAACCCTCTCTGTCTCGACGAACCCCGGACCCCCCAGGAACACCTCGCTGAAGCCCCAGGGGTTCAGAGTCCTTCTGAGCTGCCCTGTCCAGCCCCCTGGGCAGCCGGGCAGACCACCCGGTTGTTTCCTTGAAGGGACATGGGGCCGAACTGAAGGGCGAGGGGTCCCCAAGGGAAACGTTAATTTATAAAGATGCCTGGTTCCTTTCCCCAGTATATTTCATTTTTATCTTGAAGAAAAATAGGAAGTGAGACAAAAGCCTGCTGTAAGAGGAATTTAGAGAGAGACAGAACGCAGGGCACAGCCTCCTGGGTGTCTGCCAAGGAGACCACTGGCTCTGCGGCCCAATCCGTAGGTGAGGGCTGACGTTCGCGCCCACCTGACACTGAGAGCAGCCATGCTCCTTGTCCTGTGGCTGCTCTGAGGACCTAGAGTGACCCCGACACCTGCTGAGAGGTCAGCTCTGCACCAGTTCTTTCTCCTCACCTGGGGTTTGCGTGCGAATCCAGAATGCCAAGAGAAGCATTCAGGTGAGATTAGGACAGGGGGGCAGGAGACGCACAAACTATGCTCAGTGCTGAAGCCCCACATGGGAGTGAAAGGAGGATGAAGAGGCCTGGGGCATACCTGACACACACCTGAGGGACACCCAGGACTCACCTGGGGTATAGCTGGTGCACACCTGTGGCACAACTGAGAATCACCTGAAGCACATACCTGGGGCACACCTGGGACACATCTGGGGTACACCTACGGTTGCCAGGACCAACAGAAATGTCAGCTTCATGACTTCACAGCCTTGCCTGTTTATTCTAGCACAGGAGGTGCTCAGCAAATGTTTGGGAGAGAATACAAGGGAGTAAGTAGGAGATTGGTGTTTCAGAAACGAAGAATGTCGGAGCCAGAAAAGGCCAGGGGACTTCCCAGAGCATCCGTCTGCTCCGTGGTGGGAGGAGAAGAGTGTCTCAGAGAGCGGTGAGATTCTGCCAGGGGCTGCGGGGCAGGTGGGACCCTCTGTAGCACCTGGAGAGATGGAAATGAGAACTTGCAGGCTGTGTGGCACCGCCCCCCCCCCCACTGCCACCAACCAAGTGGGTTGGTGAGTCCAGCCTATCCACTTAATAGCCGGTATCCTTGGGCCAATGGCTTTAACCTTGTCCTACAAGCCGACCAGATTTCAAACGGGACCATAGTGCCCATGGTGTGTGGTAGAATGGAGCGCCCCCGAGCCCTTCCCCATCATGTGTCCTGGGTCAGTGCTTCCCCACCGTACCAGGCAGACAAACCGCCCAAATTCTTGCTGAAATAAAGATTCTGCTTCAGAGGTCGGGGCAGGTCTCTTACAAGCTCCCAGCTGGTGTTAACTCTGCCCATCAGGACCCACGGTGAGAAGCGGGATCTGAGGGAGACAGCTCCCACCGAGTTAACAGCGAGCTGCAGTCTGGGAGTTAACAGCGTTCAGTACGTTCTGGGGGGCAGAAGCGTTTGCTTAGACTGAGCTAAATGTGTTTCTTGCCACAGGACTTGTTTAGAGATTTTAGAGTGAACTCGACTCTCAAAGAGGAGTCAGGTATGGTGATTCCCAAACTCGTATGGTTATTTCAATGTAAAAATAACCACATTAAAAGTTTATTTGAATTAAACTTTCTATTTGGAAACAATCATAGATTCATATGGAGTTATCAGAGTTGATCCCGAGACATTTCTAATAACAGCATTTTCCCAAACTAGGGCAGAGCCTCCCAGCCGGGATGCCGACCCTGACCCAGTCCACGCACAGAACAGTCCACGAACATAAGGACCCCACGTACAGACACGCCCACCTCCTTCCCACCCCCACACCCTCTGCACCCCTGGTCGCCACTGATCTGCTCTCTGTTTTTATAATTTTGTAACTGTAACATCCTATAAATGGAATCAGGTAGTACCTAACCGCTTGGAATTGGCTCGTTGCACTCAGTGTAATTCTCTGGAGATCCCCCCAGTTGTCGCGTGTGCCACCAGTTTATGGCGAAGTGGTGTTTGTTCCGTGGTGTGGAAGGGTCACCGCTGGTTTAACTCCGCCTTTGCTTCCAGTCTGGGGCCATCATGATGAAGCGGCTAAACATTCCTGAACAGATATTTGTGTACATATAACTTTAAATTTCTCTGAGATTAGTGCCCAGGAGTGTAATTGCTGACTTGTAACTAACTGCATGCTCAGTTTTTAAAAACTGGCCAACGGTTTTCCAGAATGGCTGTGCCATCTTGCTTCCCTTCCAACAACAGGCGGGTGAGCCGGTTTCTCAGCATCCTGGCCCGCATTCGGTGGTGTCACTGTTTTTTATTTTAACTGATCTGATAGGTGTAGTACCTGATAGGTGTGTCGTGTGTCTCCCTGCGGTTTTAACTTGAGTGTCCCTAATGCCTACTGACACTGGCATCTTTCCAGCTGTTTATTTGCCATCCAAAATGTCTCTTCGTGGCTTTCCACCATGTTCTAACTCGATTGTTTGCTTTTTTGTAGTTGAGTTTTGAGTGTTGTTTATCCACCTTAGATACTAATCCTTTGTTGGACTCGTGGTTTCCAAATACTTCCAGCTGTAGCTTGTCTTGCACCCACTTTGCACGAGCTTTCATGAAACAAAAGCTTTTCTCTTTGGTTGGAGCCCCACTGATCAATTTTTCCTTTTACGAATTGTGCTTTTGGTGTCAAGTCTAAGCACTCGTTGCTGATCTTGAAGGTTTCTTCCCATGGTTTTTCAAAAAGTTTTATACTTTTATGTTTAAATAAATGATCCATTTTAAGTTAAAACAATTTGTAACATGTGAGACTTAGGTCAAAGGGTTTTTTGGGGGTTTTTTTGTTGTTTTTGCCAATAGATGTTCAGTTGTTCAGGCAAGGTCATCTTTGCTGCATTAATTGTTTTCGTACCTTCATCAAGAATCAGTCGGGCGTGTTAGCGTGGACCCGCCTCCAGACTTTCTAGTCTCTCCCATTGGTCTCTGTATCTCTCCCTCCACCAATACCACACTGTCTCGATTTCTGCAGCTATTTCTGTCTATATCTGTGAGAAATATTGGCCTATAGTTTTCTTTTTTTGTATTGTCTTATCTGATTTTGGTATGAGGATAATACTGGTCTTATAAAATCAGGTGGAAAATGTTTCTTCTTGTCTACTTTCTAGAAGATATAGTGTATAATTTATAATTCTTCATTAAATGTTTGTAACATTCTCCAGTGAAACCATATGGTACTGGAGGTTTCTTTGGTGGGAGATTTTTAATTATGAAATCAATCTCCTAAATAGCTATAGAGCTACTCAGATTATCTATTTCAAATTGAATGAGTCATGTTTTGTGAGGAAATGGTCCATTTCATCTCGCTTGGCAAATTTACACAGAGCCGTGCATCTCACGCCCTTACAATTTTTTTAGGTCTGCAGGTCTGTGGCGATCGCTTGTTTCATTTCCAACATTGCTTACTTGTGTCTTTTCTCTTACGATTGGTTTGCCAATTTTATTGGTCTTTTCAAAAAAACAGTTTTCTCATTTTACTGATTTTCTCTTTTGTTTTTAATTTCATTGGCTTCTACTCTCACCTTTTATTTCTTCCTTCTGTTTGCCTTTTCCCCTTCTTCTTTTTCTAGGTTTTTGAAGTGAAAACTTAGATTATTGATTTGAGACTTTTCCTTTTTCCTAATATATGAATTTAGTGCTATACATTTTCTTGTTAAGACTGCTTTAGCTTTGTCCCACAACTTTTGATATATTTTTGTCTTCATTCAGTTCCAAGTATTTTTTAAAAATTTCTCTTGAGATTTCCTTTTTGACTCATACGTTATTTAGGAAGTGTATTATTTAATTTTCACATGTTTGGAAATATTCCTGTTATCTTACTGTTATGAATAGCTACTCTGATTCCACTGTAGTTGTAGAACACATTCTGTAGGACTTTGATTTTTTTCAAATTTATTGAGCTTTATTTTATGGCTCAGGATGTGGTCTATCTTAATAAATGTTCCATGAACACTTAAAAAGAAAGTGAATTCTTCTTGGATGGGTGGAGTATAAGGCCAATGTCAATGACATTCTGTTGGTTGATGATGTTGTTGAGCTCCATGTCTGTGCTGCTTTTCTATTTAGTTGTTCTATTGATTTTTGAGAGAGGAATATTGAAGTCTCTAACTAAACTTGTGGATTTGTCTATTTCTCCTTTCAGTTCTAGCAGTTCGCTTTACACATCTTTTTAGCTCTCTTCCTTGGTGCATACACACTTAGGATCGCTCTATCTCTTTGTGGTTTGACCATTTATTATTATACAATGGCTACCTCTGGATATTTGCTCTGTCTCCATTATATGATATTAATATAGCAACTCTTACTTTATATGATTAGCACCTGAATTATATATCCTGTTCCATCCTCTCCCATTCAACTTGCCTGTATCGTTGTATTTGAGGTGAGTTTTTTGTAGATAGCACATGACTGAGTCGCTCCTTTAATTGGCATGCTTGGCCCATTTATACTTAATGTAATCATTGTCGTGTTAGGGCTCCCGTCTGCCATTTTTCTGTGTCTTTCTTTTTTTCTCTTTTCTCATTTGTTTTCTTTTCGCTCTCTTTCTATGGGTTACTTCAACATTCTTTAGACTTCAACTTTAATTGATCTATAATATTTTTAGTATATCTTTTTGTATAGTTTTTATTGGTTACCATAGACATGGCATTATATATACATAACCTTTCACAATTTATATTGGTGTTTTATCAGTTTGAGTGAAGAACTCACCTTCTTTTTATCCTCTTCTGTTTATAATTGTCTTAATTATATTATCATTTTTGCTTCAACCATCAAACATAATTGGGAAAATTCAAGAAGAAAAGGAAAGCCCCGCCATGACCCATATGGCTCAGTCGGTTGGGCGGCACCCTGCAAAGAGAAAGGTCGCTGGTCCATCTCCTGGTCAGGGCACCCGCCTGGGTGGTTGGCCTGGTCCCTGGTTGGGGGGTGTGCAAGAGGCAATGGATCTGTGTTGCTCCACCTCTCTTTCTCCTTCCCTTCCTGTCTCTCTAAAAAATAAATAAATGAAATCTTAAAAAACAAAAACAAGGGAAGCCTATAGCATTTACTTAGATTATGCTTACTATTTTTTTTTTCTTTTCTGGTACTCCAATATTCCTTTTAACATTGTCTTTCTGTTCTGAAAGTTCCCTTTAGCCATCCTTGAGGGTTAGTCTACTGGTGAAAAATTAGCTTCCTTTTCTCTTTGTTTGATAATGTCTTCATTCCCCCTTCATTCTTGAAGGATATTTTCGCTGGATTTGGGATTCTACATTGACAGTACTTTTCTTTCAGCACTTTAAAAATATTTCACAACTTCCTTCTGGCCTCTGGTTTCTGATGAGAAATCAGGTGTCATTCAAATGGTTTTTCTCTGGCTGCTGCCTACATTTTGTGTGTGTCTTTAATTTTGAGAAGTTTAATTATGATTCACCTTGGGGGGCCTGGTTTGCTGTTTCCTCTGCTTATCCTCCGAGTGGTTTTCAGCCTTGGCCTCTCACTTCTCTCCTTCTGGAACTCCAGTGACAGAGTTGTCAGATTTTTAGTATAGTCCCCGAGGCTCTGTAAATGTTTTTCCGAGTTTGCTTTCTCTCCGTTGTTCAGATGAGGTAGTTTCTCTTGTTTTTTTCTTCCGCGTCAGTGGTTTGTTCCTCTGTCCCCTCCCTTCTGCTGTGGAATCTGTTCTTTGAGCTTTTTATTTTGGTTCTTGTATTTTTTAATCTAAAAGTTCCATTTGGTTCTTCTTCAGATGTTCTATTTCTTTCCCTGAATGTTCTGTTTCTTTGCTGAGGCTTCCTCTCTTCTCATTTGTTTCGAGCATGTTCACGATGGCTCTCTGAGGCAATTTTGTTCCGGCTGCTTTAAAATCTGTCAGGTAACTCCAGCATTCTGTCACCTTGATGTTGGCATTCATGAGTTTTCTTGCTTTAATTCATTTTGAAATCTCCCTGGTTCTTGGTAATCTGAGTGATTATCAAACTGATAAGTAACATTTTCCTATTATTTAATTCTCCAGTTTTAGCTGGCCGTCTCTGACTCCACTGCAGCCGTGGAAGGGAGTCGCGCTTCACCTCATTACTGCCAGGCGGGGGTAGACGTCTAGGCTTCCCAGCAGGGAACCTGGGGGTGCTCCCCACTTAGTGTGGAGCCCACTCCTTATGGCGCATTTGTCCCACGTGCTCAGAGCATGACGTGAGGAAGCTGTCCTCGGCCAGCGCCCCCTACAGGCACGTGTCCAGAAAGGTCATTTTGATCACGTGTGTGCAGTTCAGCACATGCTTTTGTGCTGTGGTGAATTCAGGGACTGAGTGGGGAAGATCTAGTTCGAAGACTTCCAAAGAAGAGTTCGTGTTTTGCTCCTTTCAAGAGCATCTTTATACTTCACAGACGAGGGCAGCATTCCTTCCATAGTCAGCAGTTGCTGCACTGATCGGAGTCCCAGACCCACAGGTGGGGACAATTAGACTGCCACCTAACACCACGCTCTGTTGCTGTTGCCCTAAAGTTCCAAAGTTGTGAATGGGAATAGTGTTAAGGAAATTACATAGGCTTGGACCATTAAACAATTAGGAGTCCTAGGTAAAATAGTGCAATTCCATCTGAATTTTAGGGTGCTCATTCTGCTGATAAACTCTGAATCATCATAAAGAAAATAGGCAGAATAATGGCTAGAGGGCTTTCCTCTTATTTGCCTATATGGGAAAACTAGATGTGACAATAAATAAAATTCCAGATTTTTTGTGTACCATACCCATTATTTTCATTGGACTTTGAAGGAAGTATCTGGAGAAAGGCCTCTGTGGCAACACTACGTTTGCCTGGCTTTGCCCTTCCAACTGGAGAAATAATGCCCCAGTGGGCAGATGTCACGGCCCCAGCTCTGTCTCTAACCACCAAGGTCTCCAAGATTCATTTGGAGAGGGATGGGGAGTGGCTCTCAGCTGTCTGGAAGCTTAGGCCATCTGGGCTCTTGGCTCACTCACTAACTCGGGGGTGAAACAAGTGTCAGGAGTTTTCAAGGTGCTCCAGGTGACTCCCATGGCCCTCCAGGCCAAGTGTCCCCCACCTGGACATTGCTGTGGTCCTGCAGCCACAGGCCTGGTCCACTGGGAATTCCCAGGCCCAATGAGTCCCCCTAAGTCAGAATCTGCATTTCAACTAGATGCCTGGGGTGCGGTATGCATTCAATTTTGAAAATAACTCTAGACTGTATAGCTGTGAATTCCCCCATAGATGCAAAAAAGTCTAAAGGGCCCAGCCCCCACCCCAACAACAGATCTTAGGGCACATCATCCTCATCACTGACACTGAGCGTCAGGTATGACCTAGGTGAAGGGACCTAGGAACCCTCCGAACCCTTTCCTCTGGAATGGAACTTCTAGCCCCTTTCACACTCTGGCCCTGCTCTAATGCTGTCAGTTGTAGTCTCTCCAGTGACTTATAAGTACTAGGAATGACAGCATCTGGAGCATTCATGAGCCCCAGCAACTACAATATCATGACATTGGTCACCTGCCCCCATCGTCCCAGACCAGGGGAGCGGCCAGGTCCAGGCCTGTCTTTGTGCTGACCTCACCTCTTTGCTCCTGGAGGAAGTGAGAGAATGGGCCAGAGCTGAACAAGTGGCTGTTCGTGCAAGAAGGTATTTCTCCTTAGTCGTTATCCTAACAAAGCTATGGACCAAGGGCATCCCAGAAGGAGCAGGTGGTAAAAAGAGCTGACCTGGCCCTGGTTCGCCCAGGGGAGGGGTGAAGGGCACCTGATAGCGAGAGAACCTGCGGAGCTCATGGAGCTGCCGCCACTGGTGTTTGGAGAGCCGAGGTCTGATAACGCCGCTGCAGTGCTTTCCCTGGAACTCTCCCCATGCGCCTTTGACCTCTGAAGGAGACTATAAAACCCAGAGGAGGATTTTCTCCTCTCAGTCTGGGTGTGGGGAGCACCCCAGTTCTGCAGAAGGGGGACCTCCAGAAGCAGGGACAATGGCAGCGCTGCAGGAGAAAAAGTCATGCAGCCAACGGATGGAGGAATTCCAGCACTACTGCTGGAACCCGGACACAGGGCAGTTCTTGGGACGCACCCTGTCCCGGTGGGGTATGTCCCTGGCAAGGACGGGAAAGAGGGGGCAGCTCTGAGAGGAGAGGCAGAGGACCACCCACCAGCCGGCTCCTGGGCCCCAGGCCCTGCCCAGGCTTCAGGCCAGGGCTCACCTCCCTCACCAGGAGACCCGAAGGCCCATTTCAGCCCTGATACTCCCTGGTACCAGGCACCCACAGGGAGGGAGCATCTGAGGATGGGCCCCAAAGTTTCAGGCTTAGATTTGGGCATAGCAGTCTATTGCTATGTTCCTAAAATACATAACTTTTTAAGACTTCAGTTAAGGGGCATAGGTTTCTTTGGGATGAAGAGAATGTTCTGGAACTAGATATAGTGATTCACGACATTGTGCGTGAATGTACTAAACACCAGTTTCCCTTTGAGACGCCTGCGCTGGTGGGTCTCCCATCTGTCCATCCTGCCGCGGTGCAGGGGTGTGTCAGCTGCCTCTGACCAGCCTCTCCCCACAGTGTGGATCAGCCTCTATTATGTGGCCTTCTACGTGGTGATGACCGGACTCTTCGCCCTGTGCATCTACTCCCTGATGTGCACGCTCGACCCATACACACCTGACTACCAGGACCGGCTGAAGTCACCAGGTAACGGGGGTGACACTTGAGCCTAGATACCAGGGCCCTGTGTGGGTCGGGGTGACACCTGGCCCCTGAGCTGCTCAGTCAGGGCACCCAGCAGGCTTAGAGGGGCCTGTCACCTCCACCAGCAGCCACCGGGCCTTGAGGGGTACACCAGAGGTGTGGATGGCCCCTCACCTTCTTTTCACAGGGAAGATGACCCCTGATTATAAAGTCCAACTTTGGCTTTAGTCGTAATTATTAAAACAAGAGTTCTTTGTGATGGAGTCTATCACTGGCTTTGTATGCGTGTATACGCACAGAAGACATATCTGGAGGATATACAAAAAACTGTTCCTGTTACGATTAGGAATGAAGGGTCTGGGCGGGAAGGAGCTCGTGTTCTCCCCTCCGTGTCTGTCAGCACTGAGGCGTCACAGCCACAAGAGCAGATTCAGTTCAGAGCACCCAGGTTCCTCTACTCTCCTGCGGGGTGGAGGGGGCTGGGACATGGGCTGGGACACGGGCTGGGACACGGGCTGGGACACGGGCTGCACACGGCTCTCCTCTCCTGCGTCCGCACCTCGTGAGCCATTCCGGACAGGACTCTGGGGCCTGACACAGTGAGGTGTCACCTCTACAGTCCTGGTGAAGGTGATTGGAACGGAGACTTCCACATCCAGCCCATTAACCAAAGGTGACCACAAAACAAACAAACAAAACCACGGGAGGGAGGGAGGAGAAAGGAAGAAAAGGCATCTTCCAGCACACAGTCATGCAGAACATTTATCACACACGCATCCTTAATACTTTCTAAGGACGATAATAACCCCAGAAACACCCAGCAGAAGCACAAAGGAAAAGAAAACTCAGATGTTTTCTGGCAGGTGAGCTTCGGGGGTCCAGCCATTCCACTGGGATCTTCAGTGAATCCATTTATACGTGATAACACCAAAGTGCTTTATTTATTGGGTGTCCATTTTTAGACTCAACCAACAGATAAAACATGGAGCATTTCATTGCCACTTCAGAACAGAATGGAGTATATTACAAACTTGGGATCATAACCAAAATGGAATTTGCCCAAACCCCAAGGATGGAAGGCAGGGTGAGGTGTGTTCCCTGCGTCCCGGTGAGGAGGCTGGGGGCAGGTGACAGTCACCCCCCGAAGCTGGTGAACAAGTTATGTGGGAACCTGAGGACACGCAGAGGGCGCGTTGCAGAGAGGAGGGTGTGGGGGGCTCTCCGTTCCTTCCTTTCTTTCTTTAGACCTTTCTGAAGGCTTTCACTTTACACCACGTACAGCTGGTACTTTCACAACATCCGTGAAACAACAAGAACCCGACCTTCCTGACTTAAAAAGTCGCCTGCCTCCCTCAGGGGACTGGCTAGATAAGTCATTAAACATTCACACAGCAACACAACACGGTGTCTGCAGAAGGAAAGAGGTGAGCTGCTACGAAAGGCCAGGGAGAGGCGGTGACAGCTGGTCCTGGAAAAGGAAAACCGGTGAGCGGAACATGGAAAGGACCTCCCTTGTGTGAGGAAAGCCGTAATATACGCGACACCACTTTATGTTCACAGAAACGAGGCGGTTTCCTGAGGACACAGGCTGCACCCGAGATCAGGAACACAGGGCTGTCGCTTCAACTCCCTGCTCCCGTGCCTTTTTTACAATACGTTGTCAGTGTGCATTTGTTCTTAACCAAAACCAGTGCAGATTTTCCAAATGTGCGTTCAGATACAACTTCACTTAGAGACCCAGTAGGTCCTGGATGAGTTGTCACCTGCAGCAAGAGTGGCCACCTGGGCCACATTGGTTCAGGCGTCACATGCAGGGAGAGCCCACCTGGCCTTCCGCCGAGCGCCCCACCCCGAGCCCAGAGGGGCCTCATTCCAACTGCACAGCTCCCAGGCTGGAGGGCAGGGTCCCCACTGGGCTGCTGGTGCAAAGGACGCTTGGCTGCAGCCGCCTCACCTGGTGGCCCTTGAAGACCTGGGCCCGGTTGGTGCCACGGTGTCCCACACTTGGCCTCCACCAGCTCAGGACCACTCTGCATGCGACTCAGCAAACAGCCTGGACGTGATGAACACTCAGGGAAAACTAACAAGTGCCAGGCTCTCTTTCCAGGGGTGACCTTGAGGCCAGATGTCTATGGAGAGAAAGGTCTGGAAATTTCCTACAATATCTCCAATAACGGGACCTGGACGGACCTAGTGCACACCCTCCACGACTTCCTGGCAGGTAAAATTAAAGCACTTCCACGGCCTTTATTTTTCCTAAGAAAATTTCGCTGAGGGGCATGGGCTTCCTGGCCCTCCAACAGCCCTGGGTGGCTGCAGTTGGAGGAAGGGCCCACAGGGTGTCTGTGCCCGCAGCCTACTCGCCAGCAGCCCAGCAGGACAACATAAACTGCACCTCAGAGAAGGTCTTCATCCAGGAGAGCTTCAGCGCCCCCAACCATACCAAGTTCTCCTGCAAGTTCACAACAGACATGCTGCAGAACTGCTCGGGCCTGGTGGATCCCAGCTTCGGCTTCGAGGAAGGAAAGCCGTGTTTTATTATTAAAATGAACAGGGTGAGTATGAAAGGGTTAGAAGTCCGAGATCCAGTGCCGGGCCCCTGTGGAGATTCCTGTGGGGTGAGGGCCAGGGCATGTAGACCTTACGACCACACAAACCCTCCTGTCCAGGGTCCTGGAAGAGGCAGGTCAGACTCACACCAGCTGCTCCCTCCTCTCTCTGTGCCCATTGCAGTGGCTCATATGCTGATTACTTGAAAGCCTTCCATTCAGACACAGCATCTACCTGACCCTCTGCAGTCCCTGGACAGTGAGCAGCAGAGCACAGGGCTATTCCGTGGCTAGGGCAGCCATGTGTGCACGATACCTAGAAAGAAGCCACGTACAGGTACAGAGAGGACACCTGGGGACTGTCCAGAGCAGAAGTTTCCAACCTGAGCCAGGGATCCACTGACGGGCCCCGGGCCAGGCACTGAGGGAGGTAGACCGAGTACAGAGCCAATGCAAGCAAACCATGGCCAGCAGCTGAGGTCTGGGAGCGGGGGTTCTAAGCCTAAAGGGACCACCCTTTGTGGACTGTGCAAGCGCCCCAGATCTTAGCTGGGGTCTCATCAGAGCTGCCTGGCAGACATGATGGCAGCTCACACTCCCGCAGCACAGGACTGTGCACACCGAGGCAGGCATAGGGAAGGGGGAGGCGGGTTCCATACCAGGCCCCGGCACCAGTGGGCACACACAAGGGCCAGAACTTCAGGAGGCTGAGAAGGGCACGGGCAGGAAGAAGCACAGAAGGGCTGAACACAGCATGGAGAGCTGCCGCACGGCAGGCAGACGCCGTGCCCCAGCTCAGTGCAGCTCAGTGCAGGGCTGGGAAGTGGCAGCCACAGGTCAGGCCCTCCTGCAAGGTCCGTTCCCAGCCTGCGGCCAAGACCACAGCCCTGGGGCAGGGCTGCTGGCTTTGAAGGAGTTGGTAACATGCATGGGGTGTTATTAGAGTTAGAACCACTCCCACCCCACCCCCCGCTCAGTGCCCTGCGGAAAGCCCAGCTCAGGTGCGCCCCTCCGCGCTCACAGACCAGCAGCAGGAGGGCCCACGTGGACACCTTTCCCTTTCAGATCGTCAGGTTTCTCCCCAGCAACACCACGGCCCCCAGGGTGGACTGCGCCTTCCTGGTGAGTGCGACCGCCCGCACCCACCTCGCTACTGCTCGGAAACCCATGGGAACGACCTTGCTGGTTTCCTCTAAGAACATCTCACGTGTCAGCTTAATGAACCAGATCACAAATCGCATGAACTGCCACTTAAAACACTTTTATTACAGGGGACAAACACCTAGTAAGAAAAAAACTTGTTATTGTTTTCCTTCAAAAAGCATCTGGGACAGTGTATTACCAACACACTTCAAAACATGTGCTAGCAATTTGGAGAAACCTGGCACCTCTAGGACTGTTTTGTCCTTATTCTCTGATTTACAAAAACATACAGATTACAACAGCTATCGCTGTTCAATAGTGTATGTATGTGGACTGCTGATGGCATTAATTCAGTGCAGTTTTCCACAAAATTAGTTTTTTAAGGATGACATGAAAAAATCTAAGTTTGTCTTCACTGAGTATTTTCACTGGGTGAGCGCCCCGCGTGGGGCTTTGCAGAAACAGCACACTCGGCGCCCGTAGCCTCTGCCTGGCACATGGGGTCGCCTCGCTTTGTTTTTCCCTTTTCGTTATCTCAGCCACACCTGTGTGGCTGACGTGGGATTTCAGACACCAGAGTGGCCTTCACCTGCTCCTTGGGAAGCTCACGCTATCCACCGGTCGGTTCGCTGACTCTGACAGTGGGTGCTGCTCCCAGGAAACCACTCACTGGCAAACCAGCCCACACGGCCTGCTTGGCTGTCCTTCCTGCGAGCGGCTAAACAAGCATTGTCCCCTCTACACACCTTTATTATGCTGCAAGGACTTAAAATGGTAAAAACTCAAGTTTGATAAGTCACCAGGGTTTTTACAACCTACACACTATACCCCTAATGGGACCACAGTACTGACTATAAAGATTAGATCTAGTTTATGCTAATTACACAGTGAAGTGTTTATGCATCACCCACAGTGCACACATGCATGCGCACAACATGCACACCACATGCGTGCAGACACACATGTATGTGCACACAGGTGCATGAAGAACACACATGATGAGGTGCACATGTGCCACACATGTGTGCACACACAGGCACTCAAGAGACACGCAGGAACACACAGGGCAGCCACCTGCCAGACGTGGCCCCACTCAGGCAGTGGCCTCTGCTCCCCAGGACCAGGACCAGGACCAGGACCAGGACCAGGACCGGCGCCGCACGGATGTCCCGCCTCTGCAGGTGGAGTACTACCCGCCCAATGGCACCTTCAGTCTGCACTACTTCCCTTACTACGGGAAGAAGGCACAGGTGGGTGCTCACTTCTCCCCTGTTAGGTGTGCTCCCCTTGTCCCCGGCAGGTGTGATGGCAGCCACTGGATCGTCTCACATTTAGCAGCGATGACTGCCAAAAGAAAAGCCATAAATATTTTACCTAAAAAACGGAGCAAGGTGTTCCTTAACCCATCCTGACCATTTAACGCTTGGCTGTTTCCCAAACCCACCTTCTCCTAAATACCTGAAAACACATTGTTTTCATACAAAATACAAATGTTAAATCTAATTGTTTTAGTTTTCGACAGCCTCCCAAATCCTGTCTAACAGCTGCATGTCCGTTTGAAAGCATTTCCTCCAAGCCCCTTCTGTTTTCCTGTTGTACTTTGAACTTTCATCACATGTACTTTGATGTGGAACGTCTGCTGCCTGTCCCCCAGCCCGGTCCTCGTTTCTGAGCAGGCGGACCCCCAGTGAGCCCCCGGGCCCAAGGCAGGGCCCGAGGCAGGGCCCGTGGGAGCCGTTACAGACCGCGGCCGCTCCCACAGTTTCTGATGCACCCCCTCCGCTCTCCGTTTCAGCCCCACTACAGCAACCCTCTGGTGGCTGCAAAGCTCCTCAACGTGCCCAGGAACACAGAAGTGGAGATCGTGTGCAAGATCCTGGCAGAACATGTGACCTTTGACAACCCCCACGATCCCTTTGAAGGGAAAGTAGAATTCAAGCTTAAAATTCAGAAGTAAAGGATCAGGAGGCTGGCCGCACGCAGCCTGTGTGGGAACTTGCGGGCCACCGCCCTCCGCCAGCCGCCCGCCGGCGCCGGCGCCACGGCTCACCAACTCTCAAACGCTCTGAACACAGCACTGGGGGAGCTCGGTGCCTCCACACAGGCACCTGTGCACCAAGCGCTTTGTGTTGGAATCTGCTACTTCTTACTACGTCTTTATGTGTTTTAGATAGAATTTGTAGCTATGATAAAAATGTCGGGTTAACACAGTAACCCTACGGCAGAAGCTATCCAACTAACAAGACCCTAAAACAATTCACCTCTTTGTACACAGCACTTTTCTTACTATAACTTACTCTCAAAACATCAACAAACTACTGCCCATGTTAGTATAAATACTATTAATGCCTTGATATGGTTCATGACCTATGATAATGTACAGTTCAAATGCTTGCTTCAAAGAATGCAATTCCTATTGCGGAAATTTATTAAAGCCGTTCTTACTCTACACAAAGCAGCCATGCCTTTCCTGAAATGGGGGTGGGGGTAGATCAACCAAAACCCAAAAACAAACACCTCTTTCTTAAAATTTTTTTCTTTTTAAAGTTTCCACTGCAAGTAAGGGAAATTACAAAACGATGTTGGAGAGGGGCTGTCACCTGAGAGCAGGTGCAGTTCCGGGACAAAAGCAGGTAAGACGCACGGGAGCCACCCATGTGACAGCCGATAAACTAGAGGTAACTGCACCCAGCAGTTCACCTTCAGTCCCCAGGCACGAGTCCCTCCGCCGACACCCAGGACTCAGGTGAGGTCTGGGACTCCAGGCCTTTCGAGAGAAACACAATGAGAACATCCTGCGTGACCCGACCTGCTCTGACCCAGTGGCACCCGCTTTTCAGCCGAGCCGTAGCTCCAGGCCTGGTGCCCCGTCCCACTTGAGTACCAGGGTCACCACCAACAGAACGACCCAGAAAGCTCCACGCGCTGCTGGGCAGGAGAATCTGTCCACCTGAAGCCCAATCACAGACACAGTGTGAGCGGAGAACCGAAGCCCCGCAAAGCCCTGGCCAGGTGCTCAGTGGGCTGGGCGTCGCCCCATAAACCGAAAGGTTGCCTGCTCGATTCCCGGGCGGGACACCTGCCTGGGTTGCAGGTTCAGTCCAACTGATTGCGGTTTCTCTCCCTTTTTCCCACCCTCCCCCTCTCTCTAAAATAAAGAAAGAAATTCTTTAAAGAAAAAAATGCATGTTCCATCCCAGTCAGGGCACAAGCCTAGGATGCGGGTTCGATTCCCAGGCGGGGTGCGGAAGGGAGGTAACCTATCGATGTTTCTCTCACTCCCCTCTCTCCCTTCCTCTCCACCATATCCTAGGGTGAGGGTTAAGAAAAACACCCCGTAAATACTTCAAGGCCAACCGAAACCTGTATTTATTAAGCATCTCTACTACATATGACATAGCAAGTGTTCTTCGCTGCTGATACAAACAGTAAACACCTTGGGAGCTACATCAGAAATGTCACACACATCAGAGGTCAGGTCACCTCAGACATGTCACGATAACATAATGTTGGAGGTCAGAGGCCAGGTCTACGACCTTCTTTTTCTGACAGTCACATCCATAAAACCAGCCTCAACTCTGAGGACTCAGGAGAAAGGCAAGCAACAAGCTCTCCCCCCACCGGCCACAGGAAAGAGGGCGTCGCTTTGGTCTGTGTCCACTGCCACATTCTTCTTCAGCCCCCAACCCACCACTCCTGGGCCTACTGCCTCTCACTCCAGCCACAGCTCGACCAGCAGGGTAAAATGACTTCTAGACAGTGACCCTGAAGTAGAGGAACACGGAGCTTGTTTAAAATGCCCATGCGCGTTTTATTAATAAAAACTAACAGTGCCAGTTAAACAAGTCCAACAATTAAAGTCTCTTTAGATTCCATAAAATATTACAGAAAAGTTTATTTGTGTTTCAATAAAAAGACTATTGTTTTAGAACAGGCAGCTAACAGCAACTGTGCAGTTAAATGGTTCTTTGTGAATAAATTTTAAAAGAAGCTACTGCCTGTCCTCCAATTCCTTTCTCTTTTTATATAAAAAAAGAACTATTAAAAATGATTGACAAATTTTGAGTTAAAAAACTGTTAAAACATTCTCTATATTTAATTTCAACTTTATAATAGATTACAGGAAGATGCTTACGAAACAAATACAACATTTGTTTCAGTACATGTCTTTAAATGATAGACTTATAAGTATGTAAACACTATATAATAAAAAGTTTCCAAACGCTGCCTGTAAGAAATCAGGCAAATTTTACCATAAGCAATAAACCATTCCAAGCCTTCCAGAGAGTTTTCGAAGCTGCACCAGCACGGCAGTAAACTTACCAAACAAAATAAACACAAACACACAAAAAAGAACTTTGTAATCAATATGCTTGCTGCAACGTAAACCTAAAATTTAAAAAAAAAAAAGGAAAAGTATGAACTTAATGGAACCACGCAGTCAATATAATTTAAGGGAAAATAAAGTGATAAGATTTATGGTGCTCAGTGTTGAAAAGCAGAGCTTTGCCATTGGCTTGGTTCTGTGGCGCCACAGGACGCAGCAAATCGAAGCTCGTCCTGGAGCCTCACACGCTGCCAGCTGGTGGCGCCGTTCACGACACGCTGCAGACGAAAGGCACGCGGGGCGGCCTGGACAGGATGACGATGCTTTCTCACTGATGCAGATGGAGCACGACTTCCTTAGCAAACTCAGCAAAAAGTGTTAAGGGGCAAAAAGTAACTCTGAATTACAAAAATAAAGATAAAAATAAAAACACACAATCTAAAAAGTAAATACAGCCCTGTGTCAGCACGCTGGAATCGCACACACCGTAGCCCGTCTTCAAAGACCCTGCGGAGAGCCACCCGAGCTTGCTTATCCGAGGTGCAGGTCAAATTCAACAGCTTACAGTATCTTCTTGGGAAGAGGCCACAGAGAAACAGAAAAGCCCACATAAAAAGTTTATCTTCCCTAAACGTGTTTTCCTGAAGCTGAACTGGAGGGGAGGCGGGGCGTGCGAGGGAGCAGGTCAGTCTTCCTCGTCGTTATCGTACTCTTCATCCTCGTCCTCGTCCTCCCCGACATAGGACACTGGGGTCTCCACCCTGGACCCGCTGTACTGGGACCCGCTGGAGCTCGTGGCCAGCATCCCGTCCGCACCGTTGGTCAGGTCACTGCAAGGACAGGAAGTGACACAGGGGTCAATGCCACGTCTCTGCACCAAAGACGGCCTGGGTGGTTTCAATGACATGCACAGAACGGAAGGTCTCACACAGCTGCAGCCGAGTGCCAGCGCTGTCACCGGTTCCACCCTTCTCACATCCTGCCCCCACTCTGCCCTCTTGGATACAACCAGTGAAACCGAGGGGAGATTGGCAAGGCCATGATAGTCTTTCTTCCAACTTATTATTACATCAGAAACAAAGGCCCCAAGTGCACCAACTAAAGAACCATTACATCCTTCTTCCTAGACCTTTTACTTAGGAATTCCCTGATCTTGAGGAAGGAGAAATAAAACGATTAGGAAGAGGGGGCCCCGGGATGACACGGGCCCTCCAAGCAAGGCTCCTGGGACAGCAGCATGTGGGAGGGCACCCAGCAAGTTCTGTGCGTGTGCATGTGTGCACGTATGTGTGGCTGTCCACGCTCGGTGCAAGTGTTACTGTGTTGAATGTGTGCCTGTGCAATGGTGTGTGTGTACACGCACGTGTGTGTGCACTATTTGTCCCTAGGACCCACCTCCAGCTCCTCTGGTGTCTGCAGAGAGCCCAGGAAGCTGAGCTGTGACCTGTGATTCTCATGCAGACAATCTCTCTGCAGCCTGTACTTCCGGGAAGGCTCCAAGGACCCCACGGCCTCCCACAGTTTTGTGAAATGGCATTTGCCAAAGGTCAGTGAGGATGACCCTGGGCAGGGCCAGCAGCCCAAAGGGGTGGGTGGAGCTGCAGGGCTAGGCTGCCCAGCACTACACACTGGTCCTCGGGTGGATCTCCGCATTATGTTCCCGGGACCCTCAACCAGGAACACGAGAAAATATTTGGTTGCCACAACTGAGGGGGTTAAGTACTGGCATCTGAGGCTGAAGGTGCTACAACAGCCCACAAGACACAGGACAGTGCTCACAACAGTTGTCTAGTCCACAACGCAAACAGTGTCCCAGGTAAAGACTCTGGCCTCAAATGGTGAGAGGTTTTAAGAGCTGGGACCCCGGTGAGATACGCTGGGTTCAGCCGCCACCCAGTGTCCCAGTGCAAAGCGAACCAGACACAAAGGGTTAACCACAGTCCCAGGGCACCATCGGGTGATGGCCCACACCAGCCTCACAGAGTGGGGGCAAGGGCACATTCCACTGTGAGTTATAACTTGCTTGGGTTATGGTCAAAAGTAACTTCAGTTTCTTAGCATTTGAGTTGAGCAGCAAGAAAAGGCAGACAAGACCCATCAAGTATCGAAGGGAGGCCAACCTAGAATTTAAAATTTGTTAGAGATCAGCCAGAGGCCAGACTCGGAGAACGCCTCCTGCAGCACACAGCGGTTGGCGTCAACCCCCAGGGAAGTCTCACACAGCGAGTTTGTTCAAAGACAGGGGACCTGAAAGGGTCAGAACTGCACTGGAGACGTGGCCACGGAACACGTGAAAAGGGGGCTCCGGGGGCACAGCATGAGTGCGTGACACGTGCTGCTTTACTCGGACAAGACGGACCCGGAACCCAGGAGGTTTGCAGCAGCGCAGGAACCCGCCCCGGGCCAGAGCGGCAGTGTGCTCCAACGCCGAGCAATGGCTTTATGGGCATAAAACCGCATCACATTACCTTAAGGCCTCTTACTGGCATTTATTAACGCTGTACAGTAAAAACTATTAAATATTGTACGCTTTGACAAAGTAATTCCACATCTGGAAAATCCAGCCGAACAAAACGAGTCAGGAAGAGTGAAGAATGTAACCATAAAGCTGCTTACTGCAGCTTTTCCTGTAACCGGGAGCCACCTCCACGTCCAACTACAGAGGGCAGCTCGGCCGACTACCGAGCCTTCCTGAAACGCCGCCCTGTGCCACCGTGAGTGCCGGCTTTTCTTCTGAAATGGCCGTGGCTTCGCTTTCCTCACCATAAACACTGACATGAGTCTCGGGAAATGTAATCAATAAGATGAAATTTCCTAAAGATGAAATTTCGAAAATGCCCCAATTCCCTTTTGGAACAACCAATGTTCGGTATTTCACAGACAGAATTAAAGATTGAGCGGACCTCTGTCACACCCTGACCGCGTCCCAGACCCCTACAAGGACTTCGCTGCTCCCCGAAGCCTTGCAGTGCACCCACGACCAACCCGTCACCGGCCCGGCCGGCCTCACAGGAGCGGCCAGGCTGCAGGGCCCGGGGCCTCACACCCTCGCTGCCCACTCCCGGCTCCCTCGGGGCCACAGCGGGGCCTTGTCTGTGTCACATGGAGACCCAGCGCGTGCTGTTCGTGGC